ATTATTAAATATAAAATAAAGACTAATTGTCTATTTGCATTATTTTTATTTTTTCCTTGGTCCTATAGTATAGGGTATTTTGTCAATGATAATAGTAAAAATAGTAATTAATAATGATGTATAACATGTCGTGGATAGAATGTAATAAAGATTATTTCATGAAAAAATTGAAAAATTATCAATATTGTATTGTTAAATCTAATTTTCACAATATAAATACATTTCATTAAGTTAGTGCTTCTAATGGTTCAACGTTCTAATGTTGTCAAATTAAAGTTTTATACCTAGCTGTTGAAAAGTCAAAACCAAACAAAATTCACATCGGGATTACAATCAGCAATTTTTCTGAACCATATAGAACTGAGTCAATAAGTTTGTACCTGAGTACTCAAACCTTAATCATTAATTTTATTTTCAATTATGAACTACTCTAGTTAATTCCAAGTTGGGTAAACCATTTGAATATTATATTCCGCTAAATTAAATTTTTTCATTTGAAAAGTCTGAAGTTTTTTTTTTTTAATTTGTATAAGTAACACTGTCTTGCGAGAATTACAATATTTTCGACTAAATATTTTACAAACCGTTAAACCATCCATCTTCATTAAGGATTACCACCTATGGGAGGTAATTTTAATGTATACAAAAATAACCCACCATATTTAGATAAGTTCCATTCTTAATATTTATTTATACCATGTTTTATACTTTCAGTGAAAATGCCGGATTCACAGAAGTTCAAACATTCAAAGGTCATACTAATTATGTAGTATCAGTCACAATACTACAAAAATCTGATATCTTACCAAGTGGTCTCATTTTAACTGGGGGTAATGACAAACTTATGTGTGGATTTCTTCCTGAATCACCAGAACCCGTTTTTATCGAAACTAGTCATACAAATACTGGTAAGAAAAATTTAACCATGGGAAATTAAAAATTAAATAAATTAAAAATTGAATCATCTAATCTTTTATATTTAGAGTATAGCCGGTAGAGGAATGTACAATATATATATATTTTTTTTTATAGAATTTATCATAATAATAATTTAGTTATAATACCTAACAATCAAAATAGATTCTACAACTTTGTAACAATAACCTTTCAAGCTTTGTAATGTTAATGATTTTTAGAAGTTGAATAAAAAAAATTTATTTTAAAAGTTAAATTTCAACATCTTAAAAATGTATTGAAAGATTTAAAAAGTCAACATATCTATTTAAAAATCAACATCAAATTAAAATGTATCTACTGAAAAGATTTCAAAAATTAAAATTTAGTTCAAATCATCCAATGACTATCTGTAAAAAGCAATATAAAAAACATTTTTTTTTAATTTTAAGATAAAAATATGTTATCTATTTAATATTGTGTTGTATAAATGATATAAACATAATTATTTATTTATAATTTTATATTTTCAGTATGTAAAATCATTCCTGGTGCATTACCAAATACATTTTTAACTTCTTCGTGGGATATGACAGCACGATTATGGAAAATTACAGTCAATTCTGATCATACTTATCAGCCAGTATTGCTTACAACTTTTGAAGGACATACAGCAGCTGTTTGGTCTTCAATACAACTGTCTTCAAATCAAGTCATAACTTGTTCTGCAGATAAAACTTTACTTATTCACAATATTTTATTCGATAATCTAAAATATTCATCTGTTGTTGCGAAAAAATTAACTGGTAATATATATATTTATTTTTTGTCATATTTAGATTTTGTTGATTTATTTTCACATGTAAATATATTTATTTTATTTTAGGACATACTGACTGTGTTAGAGATTTAGCAGCATTGTTGGGAGATGAATTTCTGTCTTGTTCTAATGATGCTACAGTAAAACGTTGGAATGCGGGAACTGGTGAATGTTTAGAAACGTTTTATGGCCATCCTAGTTATATTTATAGGTACATAATTAAAAACTTTACATTTATTCTGTTATTTGATATTAAAATATCATAAAAACTATACTCTATTCAAAATAAAACTTCAAAGTAACAGTTGGTGGTTATTAACACCTATCATCACCGCATTTCTACTATAAAAAACACCATTACTATATTTCTAACCAGCAGCAGTGCTTCTTCGCCAATGTGACTTACACAGCAATTATTAATTATTATATAGATTAGTATAAAACTTTCTTATCAGTGTGTGCTTTCTTCTACTTGTCACCAACCTGAGTTCACTAGTGGAAATACTATCTCACTTAGTTGGAATAAGGACATATAGATCACATCTATATTCTATACATTGAAAAAATATCAGCTCTTTGTGCTTATAACAATAGATCCACTTTGATTGTTTTAGTTACTACGAACCAAGCACTATTTACTATAATAATATAGTATGCGGTAGAAAACAGCTAATTTCGGTTTCTGTGCTCTGTTATTCTCTTAGTTGTGTATTATTATTTTTTTTTTATAACTGCTTTGTAAATACTCACTAAGATTTGGTTTTTGTTTTATATAGTTTAAGTGTTTTTTGTGGTACTGATATGACTAATTCATTAGTTGTGACTGGTGGAGAAGATAGATACCTAAATGTTTGGCAAAGTTCAGAACAACAAGTCATATTACAACCTGCACAAAGTATATGGGCTGTAACTATTCTTCCAAATACAGATATTGTTGTTGGTTCTAGGTATGTATATTTTAATAAAATTGTTAGTATGTCTTCTTGAAATACTAAATAGTTTGCTATATTAACTTCAGAGCGTTTTCATTTTGAAAACATTGTCAATATTAGAACAATTTATTTGTTGCTCTATAATTTTTAAAAATTCAACAACAACTTATATCATTCTTCTTAACAACTACTGTTTATGAACAAATATATTTTTACATCTTAAATGTTTTGATTCAACCTGCTTCTTAAAACCATTAATATAATATGTTTTGAATCATTAAATTATTGTAATAAAATATTTCAACTATTGTATTTTATTTATTATTTGATAGTGATGGTTTAATAAGAATATTCAGTACGGATTCAAATCGCCAAGCTACAAATGAAGCCCAAGCAGCATTCCAAGAACAAGTTGACAATGTTAACCAGGTGGCTCAAAAAGAAGTTGGTGGTATTAAAGTTGATAGGTAAGTCTTTTATTGGTTTAGGTTATGTTATTACATTTTAAAACAAATTTTATAATTTTGTTTATTTATATTTTATAGTTTGCCTGGACCAGAAGTACTGTATAAACCTGGGAAAAGTGATGGCCAAATAATTATGGTTAATGAAAATGGAAAACCTATTTGTTATAAATGGTTATCGAATGAAAGTAAATGGGACAAAATTGGCGATGTTTTAAGCGCATCTGATCCAAATAAAAACATACATGAAGGAAAGGTAAGTTAAACTAATAGATATTGTTCATGAATATTTTAAGTTTTTCAGCTTATTATAATTTGTAGGAGTATGATTTTGTATGGAATGTTGATATAGAAGATGGAGCACCCGCTCTAAAATTACCTTTTAACAGAGATGAAGATCCTTGGGTGGTGGCTCAAGCATTTATACACAAACACAATTTACCACAATCTTATTTGGAAACTGTCGCAAACTTTATAATTTCAAACTCTAATGCTGCTCCTACTCCATTACCTGCTAGCCAGGGTTATGTAGATCCTTATACAGGGGCTGCTAGGTATGTGCCATCTAGTAACGGTACTTCTACATCTGGATCAAACAGTCAAAACTATTTTACTGAACAGTTGGGTCAAGCATCTCCAGGTTACAACAAATTTTTCCCTCAAACTATTTATTTGAAATTTGATCAAGCCAATACTTCAACCATTTTAAGTTAGTAAAGATATAAAAATAATGTTGATTATATTATTCATTGTAATATTATATTTGTGGTTTTTTTAATAATTGGCTATTTTAGGTAAGATTGAAGAATTTAATAAAAAAGCAGGCGACTCATTTAATAAACTCAATCAAAGTCAACTTGATTCTCTTGTGAAACTTTGTGATGTAAATACTAGTCCTGACGAGGAAAATGTAAAGGTTCTGATTAGTTTACTTGATTGGCCTAAAGGTAAATAATTAGCCTATATATTTTAATAAAAACTTTTATTATTATACTAAATTTATGTTTCATTTAAGATATTTTATTTCCTGTGTTGGATATTACAAGACTGGCTGTGCGCAATAAACATGTAAACAATCTATTGTGTTCAAACAACTTAATTATGAATAAATTATTACCACACATCCATGATATTGAAAAGCCTACTAATCAGATGTTGGCATTTAGGTGCTTATGTAATCTTATGCATCATGAAAAAGGAGAACTACTCGTGGTAAAATACTATGAAGAGTTCTTAAAATTCATTCAAAATTTATCGAGTGAAAATCTTTCTCAAAAACAACTTCAAGTAGGATATAGTTTTTGATATTTTCATTAATAAATTGGATTTATATATTTATAGATGGTAATTAATTATTTTTAATAGATTGCTGTAGCCACGTTGATGCTTAATTTCAGTGTTATGATTAAACAATCTGATGATAAAATAGCTATACAAGCTGTGAATAACACAATAAATATGGTGTGCCCAAGACTGACTGAACCTGAAGCAATGTTCCGTTGTTTTGTAGCAATTGGAACATTATTAAGTTTAAAATATCCTCCGACTTTGACGGAACAAATTAGAGATTACATTGAACTTATGGCATCTAATTCAGAACCATCAAAGGTGTTGTCATGTTGTAAACATTTAATGACCATTATTCAAAAGTAATTGAATTTAAAACTATTCTTAATATATTTTATACTTTATAATAAATTGAAATGTAACATTGGGAATAATGTGTTAGTAAAACATTAACTGTAAGTAAAATATTTCTAATAAATAATATTGTACATTTGTTCTACTGTTTTTAAAAATAATTTTAAAAAAATAAATTTTTATAGATAATGTTTTGTAATATATCTAAGAAATATCTTGTTTAAAATGTTTAAATGATACAAACCGAAAAGAAAAAATACAGTTTTATTCTATGATTCTATAATTTGTTTTATTATAATTTAAAAGGTATTCCACTAAATGGTACTTCATTTTTATAATTCTGCTTTAGTATAATGTCTAATTTTATTTCGGGGGCTTCCACATGTGGAAACATCAAAATATCTTCATTTCGTGGAATGAAAGATTTATCGTGCCACCCATACCTACAAAAAAGTGAAATTAGTGATATGCTGCTTCAAATTATTTTACAGTTAATAAAATGTATATTATATTACAAAAAACTATTTTTTTTCATTGTCATTATTTATTAGTATCACATCAATAATTACCTTTGACTTTCAGTTTTTGGAGACGGAAATTTGTTCTTTGGCCCTAGAGATTTAGCTTGTGCCAAAAGTTCTATGTAGTGATAGTTTGGTTCTCCTTGATTAACATTTGCTTCATGACGAGCATAAAATTTTCCCGTTACAGGTGATGCTATAAATTACATATTGTGTTCAGATACTTGTCAAGTTAACCATTAGTACCACGAAAATATATTGATACTCTAAAGTTGGGGTCACCAATTCATATTTTTGAAGGACCACATTGGAAATTCGGGAAATTTTCGGGGACCTTTAAAATTACCTGCATATTACATTTTAAATTGTATTGAAAGTAAAAGCAAAACAAAAAAAAAATAAAATTACAACCTTATTAAATTCATATTACAAAGAATATTAATTTTATAAATAAATTTCTTGTCTGCTGGCCAAATAAAATGTATCCATGGACCGCCGTTTGGTGACCCCTGCTTTAGAATCTAGGCCCTCAACGGTTAAAATAAGTACTTATAATTTATATTATGTATATTGTATACCAAATAATAATTAGTTTTCACAACATTTGTTGGTGAAGTTTGATCCGCCCCTGAATTGAAAAACGTATTAGAATGAATGCATATTGCACAGTTAAGCTATCATAAATGCATAATTTACCTTTTAAGTTAGGTCGAAACGTGGTGTAAACTTTCTGAAATTGTTTTTCTTTTTTGTACAGTTCAACCAAAAGAGTGTAGTTGTACATTGTGTGTTTCGTGTGTCTAGAAAAAAAAATTCGTATACAGAATATTTTCCTCTTGCAGTTTGTAGTTTTTTGTTATGAATGTAACAAACACGACATTAAATAAAATGGTTATTAGTCGCCTTCGCTACCGTCTACTATAATAGTGTTGCATTCGCTACGCAAAACAACAATCAATCGCATATTTTCTTATTCCCTTAATGATTGCTATTTGTCTTGTCTGCTGACGACCGTCTCTTTGTTGTAAACCCTCGTACATATACTAAAGCATACAACAGTTTTAATAAATTTGCTAGTCCCATTGTTACTTTCCGGACCCTATATGCAGACTTGGGATCAATACATTGTTTACAGCAGACTTAAATATTATAATTTTGATGTTGTTTAAAATATTTTTCCTACATAATAACATGTATTATTTACACCTATTTTAGAGCCTAAAAATAGTCGAACTTAGTCGTGATGAAAAACATCGTATATTTATTTATATTTAACTGAGAATCTGAAAACCTATGCACCGACCTATGGCTACGCGTAATATTATTTTTATAAATTATAAGCTTGATTTATTGTTGCATTATAAAATATTATATTTTTAGATACAATCTTAGTGTATTTAACTCACAACACCATTTTTTATTTCAATTGACTCAGAACATGTCAGGGCTCAATTTGTTTCGTCTCTTTACAGGCCCTTACGCGCACCACAGACATGGGGTAAACACAAGCTCAAACGCATTCACGCAAAATCATTTTTTCACGTTTTTGAGTAATCTTGGAAAAAAATCACCTCTTAAAAAAAATAATAGAAAATAATATTTTTGAAGTTTGTTAAAATATTGTCTCAGAATAATTTAATATCCACATCAATTCGCAACAATTTATATTTTATTTTTAAAGTCAAATAATAATAAAATATAATACCTGTGTGGCTATAAAATCTAAAACATCAAAAAATATTATCTTCTATAATTTTTGTAAAAATGTGATCTTATTACCCCAAGATTACTGAAAAAATTGCGTTTTGCCTATGTTGCACGTAGGTAGTAGAGAGCTGAAAACAAACATTAACGAGTAATTTATGAGAGTATGAGATAATAAAATGTTATGTTCACAGGGGGCCTAGGGGTCCAGCCCCCCTTCCCAGACATAATTTCCTCATTTTTTTAATAATTCTACAGATCCTGACATTACTATATTTTCAAATTACACATGTATGTCTGATAATATAATATATAATTATCATTCTGGTATGCACAAACTAAGATAGTACTATCTTAGTTCATGTTGGATAGTGATTCCAATTTTGTAATTTTATATTTTAAAAAAATTGCGCCCCCCCCCTCCCCAGATCTTTACTCTAGAGTCTAGATCCATGCCTGAAATCTGAATGTTCATAAACATATTCTGCTGATGAGGGATCGCACAGACTTTAATAACTATACCCAATTTAATGCGATGTATTGTCTGTCGCCTAGAAATGCTAAATCAAAATGTAATTATAATTCATTTTGTAGTTTTATTTTACGTACCTTTGAAATATTCGCGATCCTTTAACGTGGTGGCGATTGCAGGTGTTGAGGAAGTTGAATTATGGGTATTTAAGTATAATATTATCTATATATAACAGGGATCAGGGATGTATGTATCGAGCCTATACTTTAAACGGAGTGGTTATAAAATTCGGTCTTAATACACATGTATATAAATTTAATACCTATACTATTCATGACATTGAAAATATTAATCGAATGTTTGCGTTTCGACTGGTCAAGTCGTAAATATCCTATACTACTATACGGTGTACTAATTAGTTGAAATTACAATATGTTATTATAAAATATTTCGTTAAGAAAAACAAATGTATAATTTTTCTAAAATTCATGTGAAATTTAAAATCTTGCGAACGACTCGTAGGTATAACTACTCCCAACTAATGACTAAATAATAATATTCTGACTGTTACGTGCACGTGACGGACGATTTTATTATTATAATATATATATAAATAATATGTCTGGTAACTTTTCCTAATACGTGCCATTCACGCAAGAATAATATATACACCTAGATATTTGAATAAAAAACTATTACACCAATATAATATATATAGGTATATACCTCACCTAGTTAAAGAGGTATCTCCTACATTATTATATCCCATGCATGCAACATGCATTGTTTTTTATTTTTTTACAAACAGTTCCGATTTGATTTTAAAATCTGATTATCTGAACTACGTACTTGAACAGTTGAACTCAGTATAATAATATGTAGGTATGTGTAAACTTTTATGATTGCTGCTATAAATATAAATAATGTACCTAACTGGATTAGATATTTATTATACAAGGTGATTATTTTAACGTAAGGCCCTCGTGATTGTTTCAAAAATTATTAGTGTTTGTGAAAATATTTTTTTGTTACATAATTCAAAGTTATGTACTATCATAGTGAGTATTAGTGACTATCCAATATTTGGTGGCTTAGAAAATGCCAATATAAATACTTGATGAAAATTTCAAGACGGTGGTGGTTATTCGTCTTTAAAATAGGTAACTACATAACAAAAATGAAAAAAAAACAAAATTGATTTTACCAAAATCATTCTTGTTTTTCGTGGGACCTCATTTCTATTAACTCTCTAAATGACTTAACTAGATGAAATTTGTAACCAAAAAATATCTCCTTCGCAATGTTGAAAATCTGAGAATATTTTATTCTATAGGTATTCGGTATATACAAATCTCACACAAAAATGTTAACATTAAGGTGGACAAGTGAGTAATTGCTCTCATGAACTGTTGGAGTCGAGTTTTAGCGTAATCGAGTAAATCACTAGAATTCGGCTGCATATACCTCCCAAATGCACTTCCCCATTGGAAAAGATACTGTAGTTGAAAATCGAACTATCGAAACATTATTTCGACTAATATCTTGCAGGTATACACAAACACAAAATTTTGTTAAAAACTGGGCTTATATTGTAAATTTTCCAGTTTTTTAAAATAATTAAGAAAAGTACTAGGAATTTTGATCTTCAAAAGTATCAACTTTACTGTTTGCCAGAAAGATATTATTGATGTTGAAAATTGAATCAATTATATACTGTATCATACGGTAAATAAAAAAAATATGCTCGAAAATGGGGGAGGGGGGGCTTTATGGACTCTCAAACGTTATTTACGTCTGACTATGACTATCCATGATTTATATCAATGTAAAAAGTGTCTTCAAAACTAAAATAAAAATGTTATACGTATAATTCAAAATATTTAAAACTGTCAGGGTAGAATATAATATAATATAGGTACATATAAATAAATGAAAATAAATTGGTTGGTTTTTTAATCCAATTTTTTTCACACATTCTACTCGACTTACTTCACGACCATACTAGTATCTCTTTCATTGCACAATTGAAGATTTCGTAAATTCCTTTCAAGCTTACATGAATAATAACTAAGTACCTGCTAACAAATAAAAATATGTTATGAACTTATAACACAATACTCAGCACACACCATCGACCATCGTAATCAGATAAATAATAAATTTGTCGATTAAGAATTAATAATATTATACGTTTGAAGTTTTTGAACGATATACATAGTTCTAAATTCAATGTCTGCCATCTGGAATGAAGCACACAGGCACAGTTAATTCATTAACATCTCACCGGTATCCACAGTTTTTGGAGTTTTTGTACGATGCCGATTTTTTTTTTTTTTGGTCTCACACTTTGGCGTTTATGTCTGTCATCGGCACAGCAGATTTCGTATAAGTACTTGTGACATCACGCGTCATTCATAAATTCTATTTCACTAACGACATTTCATAAATATTTCTTATTTCTAATTTGACTATACAACTACTATGCAGTTATTATTATTGTTTTAAATTATTGAATTTATTTTAAAAAAAAATCAAAATTTTTTAGTCTCGTAGTCATTTAATGACAGTCATATTAAATTGCCTATGTTATTTTCCTTAAAACACATTCGACTATAACCTATAGGAACTACAAAACCCAGGAAGTAAGAACTGAGAGTTTTATATATATATATATATATATATAAGATATGTAAATATGCTATGTGCCTAGATAAATCATACATGTATGATATGTATGTATACTGTAATTTAGTGAAATAATTACAATAATAATACTAAAGGCGTGGATAGATCTAGCCCAAGCAAACAGAGATTGATTTATAACTTTATAAAGTTAATATAATAAATAATTTTTCTCGTATCATACACGTGTGTGTTTGTGAATAATAAATAATAATAAAAATTAATACCACTTAATTCGATAAATGTAGCCCCATATCTAGGTATAATAAAAAACTATTTGAATAAATGGGGTTTACTTAATACTAATACTTTGAAATGGGGCGTATTTATAATATTTATCTAAATCAACATATTTAGAAAAGCTTTCTAAATAACTTGCTGATAAAGTGGCTATTGAGTATGTAAAAGAAAACAGGCTGTGATTAAAACCTTAATTAAAAAATTAAAAACTGATGAAAAAATAGTTTTTTTGTAAAAATATGTAGGAATTATTATATTAGTATGTAAAATTAATTTCAGAAAATGACAAGTGTATTACCACTTAAATTTATCCCCTGTAATCCGCATACGAAATAATAATATCATCGAGTCAATATACAACCTACGTATATTCGGGATTTTTTTTTTGCGAGCTCAATTTTACACTACTGTTTTAGTATAGTAAAGCTATGTCTTGTAGGTTTTGTTTTGCAAATATCCACCCTGTCGTTCCTCTGCTGCTGTGTGTATTATTGTAGTAGCTAAACAGTAAACAGTGTCACTCAATTTATACTTGTAGCCTGTAGGTGTTTTTGTTTTGTTGTTGTTGTTGTTGTTGTTGTTGTTGTTGTCACATGTCGTCGTGTATGTCCATTAAAATATAATGATACGCACAACGCACATACGTTTGAGCCTGAGTGTTTTTGTCACTCCGACCTGAGAGGGGAGGGATTTCAAGTTGATATCAAGTGCCAAATGGACTATACTTTTTACAGAACAAAAGTCATTATAATATGACGTAATATTATACAAATTATTTGAAAATGTCTTCATTGAAACTGAAATAAGTAAAATTTATATTTGTATTTCATATTTATATAATGTCAGTACTTACTAATGTCTTATAAATGTATAGAATTTAGAAAGGCTAGACTTTTATTTAAAATCTTATAGACTTTAGTTAATAATACTATTATAATCGGCAGGGTTTCAAGTCGGGGGCAGTGAATATTTTTACCGGCCAATTTTTTTTTATAGAAAAGTTAACATTCAAATAACAAAAAAACGTTACAGAATATTATATGCGAGTATGCCACAGCAACAGCTAGCCAACTTGACAAATCAAATATGAAGTTATTACTGCGATAGATTGGAGGATGGTGGTTAGAAATAAATATTAGTATTTGTGTATTGCATCGTTGTGACTTATAACGGGACACGAGGAATCATAATTATTCCAAGTATTCGATCAATTATTCTAGCTAAATATACGTCGCATACATCTTTATAATGAATGTTAATATTATTAATAATGTATGTGTTAAAGATAGACCTAAGAACAGAAAGATTAGCTTGGTGATTCAATACTTTTTGGATAACCAACTTATTTTTTATAGAGTATTATACGGTGGCCTAGGTTGGATCTGTTCGGCCCTTACAAATCTATTCAAACCGTTCAGGGGCAGCAAGATCACACCATGCCTGCTGTCCCGGTGAACACTCTTAATTGGGAAGGTTAGGTAAATTTAACTATTTTAGACTTTAATACCTACCTACCTGTATATATCTGAATAACCCAGCTTCGCCCGAGTGCAGTTTATTTCAGTTTTAATGAACAGCAATTCACCGGCACATCGGCGTCAATGTATTTAGCATTTTTTTGAAAATAATTCGACCTCGATTGGCAACTGGAAATCGGGTATTAGGTACAGCACTTGGTATATTTTTTAAAGTACTCACTTAATTTTCCTGATATGTCACAAGGTAATCTCTGAGATTTTTGTCAAAATTAATCGAGTAGTTTTTGAATATATAAGTTACAACTTACAAACATACATTTGATTATTAGGACTTTTAAGATAAAGTTTCTTTAACGAGGCGATATGAACCCGATGATTTGATGCACGCGTATGCCTGATATACCAGAAGAGTTAATGGCAACCATTTATACACAAAAAATTTTTCAATTTCCAACGTCAACCTCAAAATTCTTGTTTAAAGACCTCCTTAAATGAAAAATGTTGAAAAAAAATTTCTGAGTAGCTGCTTACATCATAAAAATAAAAATAAAACTTTTTAAACCGGTTAGCGTAACCTAACCTAACTTGACAACTAATGTCTATAGTAGTATAGTAAGCATAGACCTTGTAACATAAGGTCTTTCATGAACTTATGATGGTAAGTTGTAAGTACCTACGCCATGCAGCAGTAGCGAGAACAAGATTTTTTTGTGTGGGGAAGGGGTGTTACTTATAATCATTGGTACCTATGCAAACATTGAAAATCATGCGGACCCTATAAGTTATAACTCAGCCTTTTTTAAAAATAATTTGTACCCATTTGTCAGTTGTCACTCTTCAACCCAGCGGTTCCCAACCTTTTTCATTCTAAGCCCCCCTAATAAATTTACTAAAATCTCATTCCCCCCTTAAATTAGAGTTAAGGTGAATTTTTTTGTGAGCAGTACAATTAAAACATACACAATATAACTATATATTAAACAATATACAACTATTTATTTTTATTATTTTCATCATTTTTAAATTGTATTATAAATCAACTTACGAAATAATAATATTAAGTCTAATAAAAAAATATTGAATATAAAAAAAAAATATTAACATGAAGTTTAAATAATATCTCGGTCTATCGTTATATAATACTTAATAAATAATTGTTGTCGATGCCCGATAATCTGATAAGTGATAACTAATATAATGATTTAAATATTACACATTGTAAAATAACATAATTATTTTCGTAACTTCATCATCTTTATATGCCCCCCTGGGGGGGGGAGAATTCCCCCCGATTGGAAACCGCTGTTTTAGCCGTTAAAGGTTACCCAGTCGGCATCTACTCGAAACGATACCCTCTGTAAAATTACTGGATTTAAAAGAATACAACAGAGGTTTAACGTTTAAATAATACCTATAAGAGCTTACAATGTTTCAAAATATTGTTTCAAAACTAATAGCTTGCACAATATATTTTTTTTTTTAGCGCAATTCAAAACTTTGATTTCCCTATACATAAGTTTCGAAAAGTAAATGACGAAAATCGCGTGGCACCAAAACTGCCAAAATAACATATCGTTCCCGTTAATCAATTAATTTCGATGGTTCAAATATAGGCACATCGCACGTCAATATTATATTATTGTCGTATGCGTGCCGGTCGACGGCCGTCGCCATTCGCCACTCGTCGTCCGTCGGCTTATTCACGATAACGAAAAGAAAACACGAATGATTCACCGGACGAACGAGGCAGTTAGCGCGCGTCCTGCCCCGGCGTGACAGTTGCTTCTCTCGTCCGATCGCCGTCGTGTCGCGGTGGTGGTCTGTCGCCCGTTCCACATTTTAATATAATATTTTGCATTGCGCGATCTATGTAATTATTGCGACGACAATCTGCGATCGCTTAATCGCACAGCATATTGAGCACTTCGATTGATCCGAACGACAGACAATAAGTTTTTCACGGCCGTCGCGAGATTTTTTCGATTCTGTTTTTACAAACCGTTCGACATTTACACTCGATGACGGTGGTTTACGGCTTTTAGAAATCGAATCCGACGCGTATCTGCGTAATAAAAAAACATTTTTACTATAATACCGTTCGTCGGTCTGGTTTTTTATACTCAGGTATTTATAAAATATATCAAACTGTATTTCACGCGTGACCCGATAGTGACTATTATTAATATATTATAATTTGTACAAAACAACGTTTAGGTATACTTACCCTCCTCTCTCGTAGTTACCGTGAGATTTTTGAGAAGATGATGATTTATAGTATAATATTAAATGGTACCATGGCGGGCAGAAACAAAATATACTATTGGTTTGTCCTATACCTTTAATATATTATATGGTACCTACATGGCTACATTGAGTGAAACTGTGTAGGTGCTGACTCGTATCTGTATGATATAGGTTGATTTTCGTTACGACTATAATGCAATATTATTATCGTCATAATAAATAGTAAATACCAATCAATTAATTATTGCGATGTAATCCCGAATATGACTGATTATAAAAAGTAAAAATAAACACTTTTTTCCTCTCGAAAACCTGATAATAAGTAATAAATAATAATGTTCATAAACCGTATATTATTGTACACTTTCCTGCGTGAAATAAAAATATATATATTTATAGGTACCTTATCCATAAATGTGATATAATATTATAATTCAATCGTAGATGCCTAAAGTACGTATGCGACGCGGACAAGTCTCGATTTTGTTTATGGAAACTGTACATTTTATCGCGTGCACGCTATACACTCATTTATGTGTATGAATAATAATATGTATATGGTAGTCTATTTATAAACACGGGAGCATGTAATATATTTTATTGCCAATAGCGTCGCCTGGAGATTTTTTCGGAAACTGTTAATTTTGTGCTACCCCTTCGAATTAGATAAGTGATTTTCCGTCACCCCATCAGATTCAATCGAAAAACGTCCAAGTTCCCAGCCACCAATATACGTGTTTTTGGAACACAAATTATTTTAACACTCCTTAACTTAACAAGTCTTTAGGAATGTGAATTGTTTATTCACAAAAAATAATAAAAATTACTTTTTTAGAAAAAAATATGATCTGGGATATAGACGAATCGTTAATTATTGAAAGGAGTCAAATTCGTATATCTATCTTATGATATTGTTTATTGTTTATTATGGCAATATAAGCTTTACATTTATGTATGAATAGTGCTTTGGGGCTTAAACCTCTTTCAAAATTACCATGTGCCCTTATAATAAATAGGCGCAGTGTATTAATATATTATTATGGTGGCATCCTAAACGCGGCGCAGGCAACACAAGAAATGGCGCCAAAACGATGAATTTGAAATCGACCTATTGCGCGAGCGTATTATTCCGCCATTAATACAGTTTGTATTTTGTAATATTTTCAGAGGACGTCAACAAACGGATTATCTTTCAACACTCGGGTGCTGAGACCCCAAAACAATCATGATTAAAGTGGATGAATCAGATCCAGTAGGAGGTAAACTGATTTTTTACTTCTAATTTACTGTAAAATAAAATGTATAATATATAGTACATACATTATACATAATACACACACAATGATCATAGATGATTACGTCTCGGCCACAAGACCGTTGTCGTAACACAAGAGGAAGAAGCTTTTCGAGAACCCTGTCGCTTAATAATTACTTATTTAAGTCCTTTAAGACTTAAACGTACTCATTATTTGGAAAGTATTCAACTACATATTTTTTCAAAGTTCTATTGAAGAATTGATTTAGACTTTAAATCTCTATATTTTATAGCAAAATAAAAATGTTGTAGTGAATATGGAGTTCTTGTTTCAAGTCAGTAAATCGTATAATAGGCATGGTTGTATATGATCAAGTCTGGATTAAGATATAAGTCCTTTAGAGTTTAGAAAGACCCTATAGTATGATAATAACGATGAAAATAATAAAACGTCATGTTCGTACTAAATATTTGAACAAAGTAACATTGGCATACAACTTAATAATTACTTATTGGCTACTGTTGTTAATAAATATTATAAAATTAAAATAATATTACTTTCGTTGACCTTTGTTAAAAATAAAAATGTATAAATCAAATAAATCGAATAAATGGCACCAATATGAACTTTAATAAAATTTGAATTTTAAGTGTCTTTACTAACTGGGTAACTGAAATGAACACATTTTAATGATGAGAACTATTTTTTTCAAACTTTTACACGATCTTATTGGTTTTGACAGATATAAAATTGAATTTAAACTTTCTATATTGAAATATTAATTTGTAAATTATAAATTGAATTATAGCTTGCACTATATAGTTATAAATAGAGACTGGAATTCTATGCATTTGCATGTTCATACTGAGTGTATGCTATTATGAGTGTTTGAAATGTCGACGATTCAGACCTTACTGATTCCATCGATCAAATTTAGTTTTGGTTAAATTTGCATATTCGGAGGATTGGTGCATATTTTTTTGTAAGTGCATAAAATGTGCATATTTTTACAGTTTTAGTAAATAATCATATTATTTCATGTTTTTATTTTGGAAATTAGAATCTTTATATATACCTTGTTTCAAAAACGAACATACCATGGAAACAAAAAATAATGGTTTTTTTTTAAATTTAAATATTTTGTTTATTCAATTTGATGTTGAAAGGTCCAACACTTATATTGTATTTTTTATTTTTTATTTCTTTAAATTGTTTAAAAAAATATAAAATGATGTTTTTTAATACTTAAAAATTGTGTTGATAATATTTAGATATAAAGTAATATGAATTTATGATGCATATTTGAGCATATTTTCTAATTGTTTGTGCATATTAATGCATATTTTGACCCTTTTGCTTTGCATATTTGCCATATTTTTAGTGTATATATTCCGGTCTCTAGTTATGAAGAATGATAGTATGGAGAATAAAATATTTTTTTTGTTGGGTTAAAAATGTATTGAAAGATTTAAAAATGGACAATTGGTGACGCATTTTTATGATAACTTGGGGCGATATAAGATGAGAAATGTAACAGATCGTTGTGGAGTGTGCTGAAAGTAGGGAGTTTAAATAAATGAGAGGGAAGTAGGGCGTGGCCAAATCGAAGACGGGAATAGGAGGGTGTCTATGCATTTCCTAATGAGATTAAAGTTGTGAAACCAGGGCTGGGGCGGGATGATGGAGCCGTTGCGGGATATTTTCTTTTGGTGAAATGAGGTTGGACTGCTGGAGCATTTTCCAAAGATTTGGCCTTAATATCATTTGCAAATCCTGAGGTTAGGGATTATGTCAGACCATGGGAATTCAATACTAGAAACATAGGAGTAATGGGGGAGGGGGTCCTAAACACACGAATTTCCGTACCTACCTATAGGCATTTAATTTTTGAATAGTAAAATCATAGAAATTATCATAATTTTTGTACTAAAAAAATACTAGACATACATTTTATGCTGAAGGAACGGGAATCTCAAGACTCCCCCCCCCCCACCTTAATTCGGGCTTAGCCATGATGGTTGAGAATCTTTAAATGTGTTTTTGTTTTTATTATTAGGCAGTGGGCAGTACCTCGATTAACAATCACGATGCAAGTACGCGTAACCTAACCTAATGTCGACAATTTTAAACATTTACTCGAGACGTGCGTGTGTTGATGACAGATGTAGAAGAATGAATAATATGATATTATATTATACCTAGCTAGCTATTATACGCGGTACGAATTTCGCGAGATCCGTACGTAGGCGGTGACAAGGTGGAAAAAAACCGTCACAATACCCGAAGAACACGGTCGTCGTTGTCCAAGCTCATCGGTCCGGTGAGCGTAAAGTATTTGCGAGATCAGCGGCGGCGACTCTATAATAGTCTATAACATAATAATAATACGTCGGCAGTGCTAAAATTAGATAGTCCAACGCGTATCTCCGACCGCCGACCGGACGCTGTCTTTCTTTTCTATTGCTGCGTTAGCGTAATTTTATTATATTATTATTACTATATTATACGCGCATGTTGTAGTCGTATAATATACACATAATATTAATAATATGAAAATATATTATTATAAACGTACAACGTACGGCGATATAAACGTAATTTTTTTTTTTTGGCAACAAAGACCGCATATTTTCTTTTTTGTTTTCCGTCCGAGTGTACGAAAAATTCACCTATTTATAAAAGTTCCGCCGGCCGGGTCCGCCGACTACGCACACACCACCGACTCTTGCTCCTCTCAACCGCCTTAACGGTGTGTAATGAATGACGCCGGACTGCGATCGCTGTATAATTTACCAAGTGTACGTCGTGTGCTCAGAGTGCACACCTATCGCTTTTGAACGTCTGCCAACCGAATTTCCGTACCGTTTACTGGCATAGTTCTTTTTTTTTACTATTTTGTTGACTCCCTCGTTGAGGAAACAACCAAAAAATCTAGTAAACATGTTTCACAAACTTAATAGACCACAGATCGGAGATAAATAATTGGCCCTTCCGGCACATAATCATATGAACTTATTAAGGTAGCGATTTGAGAACCCGCCAAAATACGTTGCCTAAGAGAAAGTGTTTTGGTACTATTTAAAAAATCAAGAAAAAAAAATCATTCATAGAACTTACACAATACACGGCCAATATGCATTACAGTAGATACCGGAAAACTAAAATGAAAAACATAATGCACAATCATTTCTATGTTACACACACAATTTTATTGTACGTTTTACAACAATTAATATTATAAAATACATCGGATTGAATACATTTGTGTTAGGTACGTTGTAATTGAAAAGAATATTTTATAAACAGACCGTAATCATAATAAATATACTATATAATGTTTAAACTTTCAAAAAATCTTGGGCTTCGTCTTGCATCCTGTACTGCATGTTTTTGACTTCTGAACACCATGTGTCCAGTCTACCGATCATACCTGATATTGGCTGTTTGTTCATCACTCTTGGTTGAACCCATTCCAAGTACACACCTTCACTGACTTGATCGATTTTACCCTTGACTAGACCCAATGACAATGCTTTCATTACCAACATTTCGATCTGTTCTAATGACAATTGTGTCTCAAGTGCAATCTCTTGAAATGATAGACACCTGTTTTTAGCTTGTCGTTTGAATGTCATTTCCATCAAACAAAGTAGGGAAATTTTTTGTCTGAGTTTATATTCCTGAACTGATATATCAGGTATGGAAGACCATTGTGGCTTCATTTTGGCAAATTTTGTGATGTCTCCAGTGTTGAATGCATTTAACAGTTCTACTAACCAATAATTTGTTGTGTTGGTTAGTGAATCTAAAATGGGATGCATGAGCAATTCGCCCAAATTATAGATATCATCACTTAGTAAGGCAGCAAGTCCCAATAAGAATGCATTTCTCATTTGATCCGGTTGGCTAATTGTAGACAAGTCAATTGAACCCAAATACTTCAAACAAGTGCGGTAGTATGCAGTGTGCTTTCCTTGAATACGATATAGATGACTAGCCAATAAATAATACCGGCTATGCACAGGGGAAATTTCATCCAGATCACTCAGCAATTTATCAACATCAGTAATAACGACCAAACAGTCTTGTTGATTTTTCAATTTATCTAAAAGTATTTCACCTTTTAGAACCTTAGCAAAAATTAAAGCTTCAACCTTGTCTTTAACTTTCGGTTCCAGTACTTCTAAAAAAGTAACTGCTTCTTTTGGTTCCTTGATAAATGGAATTACATATGAAACAATTTCAACCAAAGCAAAAGAATTCATTTTGCTTTCTATAGGTTGAATAAATTTAGTATAGAAATTCAACAAATCAACTTTTTTCTGAATGTTTGTATCTTTAACATAGGCCAAAAGTTTTAAAGTCAATTGATGCCATAATTTTTTGGTTTGTAATTCTTCCAATTCCGACACTTCAACTTCAGCTTGTGCCATTTTGTACTATAGAAAAATACATAGAGATTAAACGATTTTTATTTTTAAGTACAATATGTATGTAAGTAATAATTAAAATATTGTTGTTATGTTATAGAACTAGAACCTAGCTTTCCTTTCAAAGATATTACAATTCGTAGAGGGGTAGATATGAAAGAACACTATGAGCTACAATCTGAAATTGGACGGTAAGAATTTCTACACATTTTGTACAGGTTTTATTATTAACTTATATTATGTGACTAATGGGCCAGATCATTAAATAATACTAATTTTAATTTTTGCACTGTCAAAAATAACACATAAGTCACATATATTATATTAATACAGCTACGATAATTACTTGTAACCAAATTAAAAAAAACTTAATACATTGACTCGACATTGATATATGGCATAGGTATACATTTAGTACTTCTGCCAAATATATCTCTTAATTAATCTAAAAATTAACTGTAACTAATATTTCAAACAAATACCTGTAGACTGTATTATTAATTATAAATTGTACATACGAATAGTGCTAAAAAGATAAATTATAAAACCGTAGGTTGTGCACAAAGTAAATTATTATTTACTGGCACTAGTAGAGTTAGCCCAAATATTCCAACTATGTGATAATGACCATCACAACCATGTTAGCTGGCTTTAAGCTATTTATAAAATATATAAAGCTTTTAATGCCAACTGTCTAAAAACAACTTAAAACTCTATGGTAATACTGTTGTGAAAATCCTTTCAAAAGATAATTACTTCTGAATTCATACCTTATTATTTTATATAAAATTATAAAAACAGTTTAATTTAAAATAAACATTTAGTAGGTACCAATATTCTAGGATAAATGTACATAAAATGATGTGAAATGTACATGGTAGGAGGTTCATATTCATTAAGCAATTTTAAAAACAAGTTTATTTTAAACATTATTCATTTTTAATGCTAACACATTGCTATTTATTGTAAATATTTAAAATTTATGATAATAATAAAAATATTTTGGCATAAGGCATTTAAATAAACATCCATATTATAAACAAATTAATAGGTTACATTAAAACACAAATAATTTAAATTTAATGTTATGACCTTATGGGATGAATATTAAAAGATATAATTTTCATTATTGCTTCTAAGTTTTTTTATAACAAACAAAAAGTTAATTTTTGAATAAATGATATCCTTACAATAGTGTATAAATTATTAAAATGGGGATGAGGTGACCGAGTGGTCTGACGCTTCCGCTGCGACGCAGCCGGTCATGGTTCGATCCTCGGCCACCGGGCGGCATTTTTCTCCGAACAAGTCGCGGTGACCGGAGAACAAGTGCTGCCATCCCCCACCCCCGGGGCATGGCAGTAACCTACGGGTGCCCCATTCGAAATTCTGCCAAAACAAACACACACGTGTTCCCCCCTACCGTACCAAAAACCTACAAACCATCAATAAAAACCTACAATACCTACTAATAGCTAATGGCCACAGTTGCAGAGCTCAAGATCAATAAAAAAAAAAAATTATTAAAAATTATTCGATGAAGAAAACAATTGATGAATTTGTTTACAGGGGATATTATTATAAAAGTATTAAAAGTAATATTTGAATCAAGTTTAAATTAAAAATTTCTAATTCATAAATTTAATTGTATCAATATTTCAAGATAGAGAAATATTTACCCATTTGGCTACAGTTGTAGTTAATTTTTTGAATACATACATTAATAATAGTACATAGTTATAAAATCAAATAAAAGCTCATATTTAAAAGAACATACATTTATTTTGTTTAAATTGTTACTTTTAAATTAATAGAAAATCTACTAAGTACGTTATTAGTTGTCTATTTCTTAAAATGGTACATATATTTATTTGGTAAAATAAGATAAATTGTATAAATCAATTTGAAATAGTATGTTTATTCAAAATATTATGGTTTCTTATAGTTAAATGATTATAATTTCACATAAAATACTAATGATTATTCTTCGTCAAGTTTGAAAATTATACTACAAAATATAAAAAAGTACATATTAATATATTATTCATACTAAATTCATATTTAATTTGAAATATTTTAAAACTCATTAGCAAACAAGGATTGTAGATTTTTAAAATAATTTGCTACAATTAACTTGAATAAATTTAACAGCTAGATAGATACTAAGATACATAAAAATGACCTATCCTACAATGTTACAAAAACAATAGTTATTTTCCAATTATTGGTTTACTCGACTTCTAGCTTCAAAAAATGAGATAAACAACTATAAGTATACATTTCTGTTGAGTCATTGTGACATTGTGTCCTAATAAAGAAAGATTGATTTTGGAGTACCGATTACCTGGATACAGACTTAAAAATATATATTTTCAAACAAACTAGGTGTTATTTAACATTAGGGAAATAATAATAGACAATACTTACATAATATTTTCAATAAAAAGACAAGCGAGTATTAAGTTCGAAGACGAAATTTGATGTCAGTTTGTTGAGCAGGAGTGCTTCAAATAAGTACGAAACTACGAAATAATAATATCACAAATCAAAACATTGATAACAAAATACACAATTCACGATTCCGGCATTACTTTTGTCTAGGGAGGTGGAGACTATTACGGTGATGCCAACTGTTGTGCAACAATATTTCAAACAATATAATATATTGTACGCATAAGTGGCTAAGCCTTATACTCTAGAATATAAGAACTGTGTATAATAATAGCATTGGGAGCGGCGTAACAACATCTTGCAGTGATGTAAGCTATCTTGACGAAAAAAATTCAATAATATATAATATAATATATCTAAATACCTTACCCTGCTACCTGCACCACGGTTCGAAGGAGTAATCAAGTAATTAAAAAACACACTTTATGTTGTTACGCCTTCCATAGTACACTCTTCAGTCTTCACTCATTGCTTTGGTAGTATTATAAGGACTATAATTGTACGTCGAAGTTCTTGCTCATAAAATAAATCTAAAGCAGTCAGTTCGTCTAAAATGACTACCTACACACTTAATTAATAAAAATATATTATAGGGAGTCTTAGCCTTTAGGCTATATTCCATCATTTCCATGCACAACCTTTTTGCTAATACCTCATCCATAAGGAATACACCTAATAAAATAAAACAGATGCATAATAATAATTAATAATGAAATTACCTAACGATGTTAACTTCAATCATAATACAGGTTATCCAATGTGTACGTTCATTAAAACATTATGTATTTGTTTTTCTTTTAAAAGAGGGAAGTTTGGTACGGTGTTCAAATGTCGAGAAAAGGCTACGAGTCTTATGTTGGCTGCTAAATTTGTCGGTATTGTTCATAAACAAGATCGTCGAAATGTGGAAAGAGAAGTAGAAATAATGTGTGAACTTCAACATCCCAGACTGATACAACTCTACGATGCTTTTGAAGCAAATAATGCAATGTGCTTCATTTTAGAATTGTAATTGAAATATTTTATTATGATTGGAAAGTTCAAATATCTATGCCGGGTGATCTAATAAATGCAAACATTTCAATAATTCATTTTTTCAAAAATTATAAACGGTCTTTAAAAATATTTTTTTTACATAATCTTGGTTTTTAAAAAAATAAGTAAATGACAACATTGTTCTAGCAAAAAAATATTTTTCATATCTATTATCATTTTTAAAATGTTTACTCTTGAAAACATACATTTTTAATTTAATATTTTGAAGCAGAATATTCTTCTTATAGATCGTAATACTCTTAATAAATTAATTATATTTTGGCGTATGGAATTAAAAATGTAATTTATCATTCAAAAGAGTAAGAAACTTACAAATGATAACGATAACAAATAGTTGTCTTATAACAACTTAAAATTATGTAAAAAAAATGTTTCAAGAATGTTTGTGTTTTCTGAAATGAAGATATAGTGTCACACATTAAATCACCCCTTATATTTATACAGTGAAACCTCCCCTAACGGACACCTCCGAAAAACAAACATAATTTTGGTGATCGAGTGTTTGGTATTTGGAGGTTTCACCGTATTATATTTATACTTAAGATTCCATTTATAAAATCGCGTATCTATATGTATATACGGATATTATTTAATTCTTTCAGAGTCGAGGGAGGTGAATTATTCGAGCGAGTAATTGGTGATGATTTTGTATTGACCGAAAAAGCTGTAACGATATTCATGCGACAGATTTGTGAGGGAGTTCAATTTATTCACTCTAAAAATATACTCCATCTTGACCTTAAGGTACCTTTTAAGTATATGCTATTACCACATAGCCACGTATAGTACATATCTATTGCAGTATTATTAATAGTACCTACTTTAGTTTTGTATTAGTGTTTATTACTCTAAGCAATACCGCAGAATAGTATATTCATACGTACTAATATAGTCGATTATACGATTTTCTTATTTTTTTTTTCATTAGAAATGAACAATCTATACAGTTTATGCACAATAAGTTTATGTGGTTTAAGAGTAATAAGACTAATAACATAGACGTAAAATGTTGAATAAGAAGCCACCTATTGACGACTGCACTTAGCTTGATTAATTATATATATATTTTGAACTACCTATACAATATTATATAACCTAAACTTCCTCATATAAAATCTAAACATTATTGCCTTAATCGGATTTCAGCCAGAAAACATATTGTGTTTAACTAAAACTGGAAATCGTATAAAAATCATTGATTTCGGTTTGGCCAGAAAATTCAATCCAGAAAATAAACTTCAAGTGTTATTTGGCACACCAGAATTTGTAGCGCCAGAGGTAGTAAATTTCGATGCTATTGGATTCGGAACAGACATGTGGTCTGTAGGGGTAATATGTTATGTCTTGTAAGTAATACATTTATAATATCTATTCGAAGTTAAATTCAGTATCTATACTTAGGATATTAAATCCGGACTCGACATGTTTAATCTAGGTTATCGGGTCTGTCGCCTTTTATGGGAGAAACCGACGTGGAAACTATGTCCAACGTAACAATCGCTCAATATGATTTTGATGATGAAGCATTCGATTCCATATCTAACGACGCAAAGGATTTCATCAAAAAGCTTCTTGTCAAAGATCACAAGTATGATTATTCGCTGAGTTGCAGTATTATGCAATATATAAATATATAATATTGCACTAATTAAAACTCACTGATAATTTTTTTTTACTAATTTTTACTTAATATTTTAATAAACAATTGTTTAATAATGTGTCATTTCTTATTATAAGAATACGCACTATACACCTACTGACGATTAAAGATATATTATCAGGACCGGTTCAGGGCATTACAGCTATTTTTAAAATGGTGGCATTTTAGAAGAATGATAAAATTATAGGGGAGTTAAAATTGAATCTTGCATTCTTACCGTTAAGTGTATTAATTCACTAGCACCGGCCCTGGCTATCTATACTGTATATAAATCCTAGTATCCTACCTACTAACATATTGCATTTGAATTGCATTGAAATATCTACAAATTTAGTCTAACACTAATACAATAATACATTATAATAATAATCCATAGACTATAACAAGGACGCTTCGTGAGTCATAAGCTTTTAAAATATTATATCAGTATAATGTGATTTATAAACAAACGTGCTTCGCTGCATTTAATTAACATGAAAACTAATTTATAACAATTTTACTGGCTCGTAAATGTGATTCAAGTTCCTTGAGACTTGGATCTAAATATTTTTTAATTCAATTTGTTCGTAAGTGCCTTTATCGTTTACATTAACGCATCATTCTTTATAAGTACTTTGCAAACAAAAATATAATATTTTTACTTTGCATAACAATTTATAATTCGTTCACCGATTTAAATGTCAATCATAAGTCAATTAATAATTGGTATTTAAAAAATATATACTGTGTAGATAACTATGTTGAAGAAATTAAATAGTTATTTAATTACCTAATGCATTTACATTTGTTTCAAGTCTTGGTATTTTTATCTCCGACCAATATATTTTATCACCAAAAATAAACTACACAATACTTTTGATTGATGCATTGTGTTTATATTTGAATGCATAGTTAACTACCTAGTTTACAAGTACAATAAATTATTTAAATTAAATTAAATACAAAGAACAATGTGTTTTTAGGATATTTAGGTTTTTCTAGATTTAATCAAAAGATTATGACTTTTATAAGATATTGTTTGGATTATAACTTATTTGAAAATGAGTGTATTTGTTTAACTTTTTATTAAAAACAGTGTATTCTTCTATACACTTTCATGGTACCTATGTGAAAGTGGCAGTTTAAAATCATAATAAGATTTCTGTTTTTATATTGGTGTATTAATGTTTTCAGTAAACCGTTGTTATATACCTATTGATTATTACCTTATAATGTATTTAGTTGTTATTTACATTTTACTGTAAAGTATATGTCCTAATTTAGACTTGACTACTTGTACAGAAACCTATACATAATATTTATACTTTGAATGTATAATTACGTACCTACTAAAAATATCAGTGATTTTATAAGTTTTTATGTTGATATTATTTTAAAAAACGTGTGTGTGTGGGATCCTATTTTAATATATATTTTCCAGTGATAGATATAATAATCTATACCTTCTGTCCTCCAATATAAATATGTTTGATTTTCGCTACGAATTTTTATTGTGTGTGTATGTTGGTTGATTGTAGGAGCCGTCTGACTGCCACCGAGTGTTTATCGCACCAATGGATGCAAAAGAAAAAACCGAAGAAAATGGTACGAAAAAGTTCAAGCAAAAAATTAGTAAAACAAATCGAAGAGAAAACGAAACAGGCGCCGGTGGTGGTGGAGACTACAACATGCACCGGTCAAGACGCATTACTTTTGCCACTGGATGCGAGCAAAGAGAACTTGAAAGAGTTGTGCAGCAAGTCACGTAGCCAATCGCCGTTGGAGATAGCTTCCATATCGCCGTCTTTGGCACAGCTCAGAATTCTGCAAAAGGACAGTAAACCTTCAAAGACGTCCGGAAACGACAAAGACAGCATGTCAATACCCACCGAAACCACCACTGGCGAATCTAGGGTGATGGCGGCCGGTACGCTAAACACAGCCGCCACGACTTCCAGCTTACCACAACACACAACCGCCACGACTTCCAGCGTACCACAACACACAGCCGCCACGACTTCCAGCGTACCACAACACACAACCGTTACGACTTCTGTCGTACCCCAACACACGGGCATCACGACTTCCGGTATACCGCAACATACGGCCGCCACAATTTCCAGCGTACCGCAACACACGGCCACTACGAGTTCCAGCGTACCACAACACACAGCCGCTACGGTTTCTACCGTACCGCAACACACGGCCACCAAGACTCCCGGCATACCACAACACACAGCCGCTACGACTGCAGTCGTACCGCAACACACAGCCACCACGACTTTCAGCATACCGCAACACACGTCCGGTACGTCTTTTAGAGCGGCCGTCGACACAACACCGGCGGTGGATATCGTGAAGGGTGTTGCGGACCGGCAACAGCTGTCAACGACCACCTGGTCTCATTCTCATACGACTTTTCGAACGCAGACGAACAATGCAAACTGCAGCAACAATTACCGTCGTGCGTCGGACGTATCGTACACGTTTTCGAACTTCCGGACGTCATCGGCGGCTGCAGCGTCGTCCAATTTCCTGGGACAGGAGCTGCGAGACCTGCAGACAATGATGTTGGGAGACCGGTCGGAAGCACTGCAGCAGGACAGCAACGTGGGCGGTTCCGGGAGCAGCCTGCACAAGCTGCTGCTTAACCGGCAGCACCTGACTGCGGCCGTCACGGACCGGAAGCCCAAGTTCAAGTTCTCGTCAATGAACCGCGACGTGCCGGCCGGGTCCCCGCCGCCCGTCAGCAACCTGTTGTACTACATGACCGCGGCTGCGGCGGCGTCTTCGTCGTCGTCGTCGTCGTCATGTCGGTCGGCGCCTCACAGCAAGCGCGCATCCCCCGAACACGAGTCGACCTCCGCCAGAGAGATGTTACTCAAATTGTTCTACGGCGGCAGCGACACCGTGGCCGAACCCAATTTGTCCACTTGATATACGCATCGCCCCACGATGGCACCCCGTGCAAGTAAATATTATATATATATATAACACGTATTTATATACGCTATGTATATATATATATTACACAAACGTAAATGCATACATGTGTGAGTGTATGATTCATTATTTATAACATAAATTAATAATATGTAAATCTTAAATGTGTATAGATAGATCTACAACACGTACCTATTTCATTTATATCTTATTTCTATACGGGCGCGAGTACGGGTTCCCGCTCCGAATCCCTATTATAACATCCCCTCGGTCCTTATAATATACTGCTGGAAAATCGATGACTGCGCATTATTAATCACCACCACCATGTATAGGAAAATTATATTTAAAGTATTTTTTTTTATATAACTTACTTTCTCGTTTAAACCTCAAAGCACTGCAGGCTCACACGCTGTTTACTCAAATGTATAGTTACCAAATCTTTTTTACCGCCGTGTTGTTAATATATATAATATAATATCAAAGGTGCTCTCCGCAATGTAGACTGCAGTTCTTACTTGTATTACTTACTGTACCTGTGCCAATAATTGTCTATATTGCCGATACACAACATTAACTATATATACTGTGTTTTATTTTTTGATTGGTAAATTTTTTTTAAAGAAATCTGCTTTTTATTATTCATATTATTTATCTCTACTTTGTAAAAACACAGGGTTTGTTGTTTATTTTTACTATAGCTGCGTTTTGATTCATATTATTTGTTATTATACCAAAGTAGTGGTCGCGTTTTAGTTTTTAATTATACCTAGATTTTGTTATATAAATGACCTCACATGTTCGTTATGTAATAAAAGTGTTGATTACTAATTACCACATAATATTATACAAAATAATGATTATGAAAATAAATATTGGCTCAATATAGGATTAATTAAATTGTTAATAGTTTTAATCGTTTGATGTATACCTACAATTTTATAGAATTATACTTAAGTACTTATTAAAAATGTATATTATATGAACAAACATAATATTATATTGTTTTAATATCTGTCAAAACATGTATTATCAAGAAATTGTAATATAATATATATAAATATCTTTTATTATTTTAGGCTTTAGTGTATTTGATTCGTATAATTTTTAAATAATTTTTTTCACTCGTCCTATTTAATGCCATGTCTCTAATATAATATATAGGTACCATGACTTTTATACTGATATCATATAATATAGTGAATTTGGTAACTAGTGTATCGACCGTACCTATGTTGAATTATAGCCATTACTCGTCCTACGATTATCCGACGTCTTCTAACCACTATATTATAGTAATTTTATCTACAACTTGTATCGGATGTGTAAGCGAATAAACGACGCCATTCCTAACAAGCGAGAAAAAAAAAACCAGAATATCTAAAGCTTAGCAATAATCGACATAGCATCATAAATTCATAAAATCATAACATAATACATCATATTAAACGTAATAATACCAATTAAATCATTGTCGTCTTTATTAGTTACATATTTTATTAATGTATGAGTTTTTTTCTTTTTGCGTTTGTTTTTGCTTAATCCGAAAAAAGAGTTCGAGTTTGTTTGTATACACATTACTTAATCATAATATGGTCGAACTACAATGGCATTTTTGACGGTCTGCAATTATAATAATTTTATTATTGTCAACGTGTTGTCGCAGAATTGTTTCGCACACACGGCACATATACCATACTGTACTGCAGTACCTTTTCTGAGTACATCTCTTTATTCAAATACATATTATCTATCACGATAACACATAAATATTATTTGTAATTCAATATTATCTCTGTGCACAGGAACCGGATGACGGCTGCTGAAGCGCTCAGACACAATTGGTTGAAGACAGCAGAACGACGGAAAACGTTGAGCAAGACCAAATTGAAACGATACGTAATAAAAAAACAGTGGATTCGGGCGACCAACACGATTTTAGCTTTAAATCGCATGGGCGCTAAATTGGAATAATTATTTTTAAAAATCTCGGTATAGGTACTTATAACTGCCATATTATAATATATTATGTATACAGAGTCATCTGTTTAACTTCACTAAAGTTCTAAGTTGAATTTCGTGTTTTTGAAAAATATTATTTTTATATAATGCAGTTGTTGTGTTTGTATAGGTAGCTATTTCAATGACTAATTTTAAAGAACACAGTATACCGAAACAGAGTGATAAGCATACTCGGCTCAATTATTAAATCAATAACGCAGTTAAACAAAATTTGATTTTTAAAATTTTTAAATATGCATAAGAACCATATTTTCAAATGTTTGAGATTTTTTGTTCTATTTTAGGAGTGTCCTGTGGTTATACAAAATTATTTTTTAAATGTGAGAACCCTCTTTTTCTTCTGTAAATTATTTAGCAGATAATTTTTCTGACTTCGTGTACCCACTAATGGGCTTAGAAGTAGGAATTATGGTAATATTACTAATATTCAAATTATTTGTAAATTGTAGTCTTTAATATTAACCCATCAACAATAATAATTTGTAAAAATAGTCTAAGTATAATAATAAATATTATATGTTTATATCCATTTATAGTTTTGTAAAACCATTTTAAATATTATCATAAGTAGGTACAAAAATGTTATTAATTGACAAACTACTCGTTCGAATTTTAAATATGGTACTTACAAATTTTCAAAAAAAGTATTCACTAGTTTATTTGCATTAAAAAAAAGAGGACTACAGGACATTCTTTAAGTAGTAAAAGAAATTTTAAGAATTTTAAAATGTGATCTTTAAGTATACTTAAAAATTCCAAAAATTAAAATTTGAATAAATGTATTATTTATTAGAAAAAATGAGGGTGAGCATGTGTAGTGAATCACCCTGTATATATATTTATATAGGTATACGTAATTTAAAAAGTTTTCATCGTATTTAGGTTTTTGAATTTTTTAATGACAATCTGTCAACCTATGTATTTTAAGTTTTATAATTGGAAGAATCTTTTCTAAAAATGTTGATGTGTTCATATCGGATATTGAACAATACACCTAAGTTTTTAGGTAATAAGAATTTCATTAATATAGTTTAGTGGACTACAATCTGTGCCAGCCACAGTGTAGACCTTAATTAATATTTTATTCAGAGTTCCCCTTTGTTCAAGCTATAAAAATTATTAAACATAAATAATAATAATAATTTACTATTAACAAAAAAAAAAAACTATTTCTTCTAAAGTACTTTAAAGTTTAAACATTTTAGGAAAAGTATTGTGTTTCGAATTTTGATTAGGAAAAAAACTTAGGTTGTCAATAAAAATTCCGTGATATGACTATAATTATAAATACTTCAAGCTAAGGGTACTTAAGAAAAATTTAAAAATACAAAAATGTACTTAATAAATTAGGGCAGCCAGTTAGATAATGAATAAATATATAATTTTACATAATATACATTATACTAAAGACTCGTAGTTAACCTGGATTAAGTACTCATCTATCTATATGTTTACCCAAGAGCGACAATATACAATGAATAAACAAGGTGATCCTTTAAATATTTACTTTTTTTGATGAGTTGTACAATTTGTCATTGTTATAATTTTCAAGTTATTTACTTTTTTGAAAGATAATATAAATTTTTTATTTCATATTCCTAATCAGAATATTGTTTGGAGTATTTCTATACATATAAATAGAATTTTGAACAAATAGTTAATTAATTATAACTTATTAGTATTTAAGGTTTACCTAACGTTTGAATGGGCGGAGTAGAGTGACATATGAATCTCGCAAAATGTTGGTTCACTACTCCGTTTATTTAAATTTAAATACTTTGGTAACTATATGGTCTATTTGTTGGAAATTCGATTTTTATGGGGCAATGTTGTTACTCAGGATAAAATTGTAATTTAAGATACGAAATCAAAAATGTAAGTTCTTTCAAAAAAGTTAAAACCTTAAAAATTGATAACGATATAATTTCTTTATCAAAAATGTTGTCTTGCAATGGCATCAAATTATCTAAAGACTAAAAATAAAGTTTGTAACGAGTGTAGGCACATAATCGATCACCCAATATAAGCTCACTACACTACTCAGATAGATTAGATTGCTCTCGATTTTAAGTACGTTTAAATTGTTTAAAGCTACCTACATCACTATTCATTTTAAAGTGGTAATATTGTTACAATAATATACAAGCGTTCACGCGTCGTATTCGTATACCATATATTCATAATATTAATACCTAATACCTATTACGAATTGAAACCATCTTATCTGCGTGTCAATTATATTATGACATTCGTATTAATTTAAAGATTATTATAATAATATAAAGATGAATGTTTTTTTTAAAAATTATGAATACGATAAACTAAGCACTTTTGAAGACATTCGGTTATATTCATCTAGATAGATAATATATTAATATATATATAAATGCGTAGAACCTATATCTCTATATCTAAAATACATACTGTTGAGTATGCAGTGTTATTATAATACCTAATATTTATCATTGATAATGAATTTCAATTTTGTATAGATACTATACATTTACGCTTTATGCACTTGGGTCTTGGGCAACAGCTGAGCTATAAAATTTATTGAAAATTTGGAGCTTGACATGTTTTATTTAGCTAATAGAAGGGTTTCTCGTTCTGTGTTATTGTTAGACTTTTAATTAACTTGTTTTTTTTTTTTTGACAATTTGTGAAGACATTTTATTTTAATAATACGGAAAGACATTTTTTGGAATTAACTATTAAGAGATATAATATTATATCTATTATAAGATTTAATATGTCTTAGAATTGACTTAGTGACTTTAAGCCTGTTAATTGTAGTTATATTAGAACTATTAAGTAGGTAGATTCAGTTGTGTGGTAAATATTTATCAGCCATAAAAAATTATAATAATTTTTATAATACATAATATTTTTCAGTACCTACCACTCTTAAATCTTAATACCCAATATAATATTATATTTATATAGAATAGGTATAAATACGACTGTACATATTTAAATTTTTGTTTTAAGTTATTGGCTATGCTTACTATAATGTATCCAACCACCCCACCCTCCTAAAAATGTTTTCATGTGTGATTGCCTAGGCATCATAAAACTCTGTTTACCACACCATTGGGTAGACGTGTAGTAGATAATAAGTACTAGTTTCAATTATAATATGTAAAAGCCAATAGACACAAATGAGTTATTGTTTTTAAATATTGTTTTAATCAATGCTGGAGAATTATATATATATTGTAAAAGTATGAACAATGAACCTCTTAATTATTTCCAATTAACCTATAAACATATATATTATATAATACATATATGTTACAACATATATACATTCATATATATTTCAGATTCTGTAATTTTACGTCCTGATAATTCTGTACTGATCTTGGTTGTAAATTTAGATCCACCACCACACATTGACACAAATTGTTGTAAGGCCTTGAAAACTCTTGCATTTGCAAACAGCATGGCTAGGGATTTTAAATTTGATTTGTCATTAAATTACTGTATTGTACTTTAGTCCGACCTATATTAGAATATGGTGTGGTTGTTTGGTACCCTTTCGACTCCTTCGTTCTGCCAGTTTCCTGTTAGGTATTGACCGTGTTATTCTCTCTACCTCACGACTATTCTGCTGTTGCTGCTAAATTGCTTGACTCATTAGCAGATCGTAGGCATGTTGCATGTGCTTTGAGTTAAGTTTCTTAAAGGACCGTTATCTGGTCAAGTCGGTTCATCTGATTTATTATCTTTACTTGACTTCAAGGTCCCTCTTTGTTGTAACCATTCTATTGTTTCTTTCCATGTTCCAATATGTTCAAGCAATTATACGAAAAATGAGCCTATTAGGCGTTTAATGTTAATGGCCAATGAGAATTTTTAATTCACCTGTGGTAATCTCTTTTTTTTTCTTGTTATTAATCTGCTTAATATCTTAACATACCTTTTCATATTTGTTTTTTTTTCTCTTTTAATCTTAATTGTAATTTAGTTTAATTTTTCTGTCATATATGTCATTGTAACTATTGCAATTATGCAATTTGAAAAATATTTTCAAAAGGGTTTCCAACCAGTTTACTTTTATAAATAATACACAGCAAGTAGTGGCTAGTGGATGATTTAATTTGTTTACATTTACTGCTGTAATAACACGAAGAAGTATACCTATTGAGGACAAATTTCATTAAAAACAGACAAAATATTCTTTGAAATATTCTCCTACCTATTCCATCCATATTTATTTCAAGTTAATAGTTAAATATTATATACATTTTAATATATTGTTTACCAGTATGCATTACATTTTTATCGGTTACACCATACTAGAACATTTTGTTCTTGATAAATAATAATTGTATTACTTGAAGGCTACTAATAAAGTACATAAAGTACTAAACATACATTTAGTAGTCAAACATAATTAAGTAGCAAGAGGTCTTCGCTCTAGACCAGAGGTATTCAAACTGCGTCGCGGCTCCCAGTTGTCGAAGGGAACCGCGTAGTATAATTGAAAACCAATAAAACCAATAAATATTTTTACAAAAAACGTTTACTAATATCATTGAGGCACACCGTTTGGGAAACGTTGAATTGTCTACAACAATCATTTGCTAAATATAGCTTTAGTTTATTTTATATATGTAATATGGTAAAAAAATTATAAAATATAAATTACAATCATATAAACATTGATTTTTTTGTCATTTATAACCTTACCTACCCCATGAAAATATTAAGCAGTCAGCTTTAAAACATTAGTAACCAAGCCACTGTCTTCTGGTTAGTACAAATAATATTCATCTATGGTTTTAACTATTTGGCTATTTATGTGTGTATAAAAAATTATTTTAGTATTTATATTTTATTTAAATATTTCATTTTCTAATTAATTATTTTAGTTTTTTTAGTTCAGGTTCAATTAAATTTTAATCAACATTTGTCCATGGTACACAATTAAATAGTTACTACAATAGATTTCATTACATTACACTACAGTTTAAACACTTAATTTCAATATATTTACTTTAATCAACACTAATTAGAATATCTAATGCACAACTCATTATACTTCCATTAGAAATAATTTGATGATAATATAGTTTAATATTTTAATACAATTATTAAAGAATTATGGGTGATGCAAGTGTAATAAATGACAAACAACTCCCATTATTGGTAAACAAGAAATTTCTTAACAAAAAGTAATTGGCAATGGTAATAAAAATAAAAATTATTTTAAGCTCCTATAAGTGTGTAAGTATATAAGTAGGTGGCAAATACACGAAAAATAAATAAGCTAACACATTAATCTGTTGTAATTGTTTTTTATAAAAATAAACCATCAATAAAATACAAAAATACCAATTACAAAATAATTTGATTACCCGCTTAGTATCTAACGAAAATAATTTGACAATAAGTTAGTTACTTTTTTTAGATCATGTAAAAATTTCTAGTCAAATACAAAAATAATTTACTAATCAATTAAAACAGTATGATTATGTTTTCCTTTTCCCTAATTAAACGCTCGATTGAACAATAAATTTGTTTTAGGCTTACCTAAGCAAAATTTTGTAACGGTACCACCATTCTAGGATTAAGTGCTTTGCGGCATATTGGACAAAAGTTATTAGTCTGCAACCACTCATGAATACAATACCAACAAAACAGATGTCCACAAAACGAAAGTGAGGTGTTTTGTCTTGGATCTAAGCAAAGAGAACATTTACTGCTGCTGTTCAGTGGAATTGGCTGACTGGGATGTTCTTCTACGTTCTTCTGTACTTTTGGGTTTTTAAATACAGCCATGATCATGAGCACACTCAAATGGATGCCAGTTAACACACTAAGAATTTTAAACACATGTAACGGCCGCTTAGGATGGTACCACGGAATTGCATAGATCTTAAAAAATAATAATAATAAATATTAAAACTTTAAGTTATTAAGGTTTAAAGTTTAAGCCCTTGCTTACATATTTAATAAAAAAAAATCGTTTGGCCCACGTATAAAAGGAACCATGCCAATAAAATAATACTCTGTTAAGGCTTTGTAGTAGTGGAACAAGAGATTTGACAGTTGTAGCGATATGTATAATTTGATCTTTGGCCTGGCTCGTTATCGATTTGTTATGTTGAATGTAATAGATCCAATGATCTAAGGCTAGAATGATGAGTCTGTCTCCAAACACGTGGGCTAGTATCATACCAGTGCTTTGCTGTAAATGACAAAATTCTTGGTGAACAAAAATTGTTTATCCCACTATTATTTGCATTTTAAATACCATAAGTCCTGGAATGTGTTTTCCAGTTTTTCCAACTTGAACGATTTTTGTATACTCTTCACCCAGTGTTTGGAGCTTAGACAACGTTGTAAGTGCATAGTACAGTAATTGTGAAGTGCACAAGATGTTCTGTTTATTTACATTTACAAACACATGTCCTAAAATAATTTAATTATTAGCTGCAGTGAGCTAATGTTTAGCCATTAAGGAAGACATACTCAACAAATCATGTAATACCATACTTACTATAGTAAATTAATTACCTTTAAGTTTCAAAATAAATCCACATAGCTGTCGATTGATCCGTTCGTAAAGTTCTTCGTCTTTTTGTTCTGCTCTCAATATCTCCGCTGGCCCGCTAGAATTAAATGCTGACATGTTGGTTTTCCGGTTATATCGAGATTTTATCAATCATCCCGTTAAAGCATATATTTTCAGTCTGTGGATTTCCTGAATAATATTATAATTGAGAATCAAAATTTTATTTTAAGCATTTTCGAATTTTTAACAGTGAAGACATTGCTTTATCAGCTATAGTTCTTATCAGGGGCCGAACTGACCCTTCGGCATAGAGCCACAGAATTCTGTGATAGAACATTCTATGCCTTCGTTACATACGTTTCGTTATTAGGTTCATTTTGTTGATACCGCACGTGGGCATACGTGTAAGTGTAACGATATTGAGCCGAATGAGCCGATACGCATCCAAGCAATCCAATTTCTTCCTTGAAAATTGAAAATCTTGAACACTTCCTGTACTCCTGACTCTTGTCATTAAGGCAATATACAATTTCGTTAAATAAATTATTTGAAATTAAATATGTTATGTAATATATTTAATATGTTTATTAAATAAATTTATTTGTATAATCGTGAATCATGGTCGAACCTACTCACAACACTCACAAACATTACTTAATAGTAAAATGGACAAAACATTTTTTTTCATAAGTTATGTTTCTTCTATTGTTGAACTATGGCCTGCCGTCTACAATCGTTGAAAATGGGTGAAGTTAATTTCCGGTTTTGGGATTTGAATTGTTAGTGTACTTAGCTTATGCGAAAACCGCTCTAACTTGAGCCTCTTACTACTCCTTTGTCTCTTTTTAACAAAACTGACAACTGTTTAAGTCAAACAGTAGACATAACCCAGCATTTTTAACCTTTAACTTTAAAGAAAGTGCAGTTGACCTTGTATCTTAATATCCTATATCGTATTGTATCGATGATTCTTACAGTAATTTAATAGCATAAAATAGTATTACAGTATGAACCCGTGCTCAATTTTATATGGATATAACCGGAAGACTGAAGAGAACGACTTGTTACTCTGTCATATCTGGGTATAACCACAACAATGTGTTTACTTGAAATCAGAGACGTCTTGGAGAATTTTGTTGGTTCCACATTTCTCAACAAAATCTTCAATATTTACTGAATTAAGCATATTGGGTGTCTGGTTGTACGTGCCACGTGGTAATGCCAAGGGGTCAGAGATCCCCGGACATTTTCTGGAGGGTCAGTCCGTCAACCATAGTACGCGAGCAGTGGGGAGTTGAAATAAACACAATTTTAGACAGATTTTAAACCCTCAACTATTACAATAAAAAAATATGAACTGATTGGGTTTTAAGTTCAAGTTTAGGATACAAAAAATTATTTATTTATTCTATTAGTTTGATAATTATATGATATTATTGTTGCATGTTTAACCACGCATAAAAAATTTGAAAAAACGTCTAAATCAATAAATAGGTATTGCGTATTATTGATTTTGAACTTTTGAAGTAATGATACATAGTTGTCAGGTGATAGACACCCATATGGGAAAAAGCCACGATCGAAGTTGATCCACAGATTAAGTGGAAAAGGATGTGGTTAGAGTCCGAAGTACGTAATTGATCATTGGTTTGAGGACCCAAAAGTAAGAACACCAGGTTTTAACTAAGCCGTATACGAACTGAGCCAGGAAAACACATTTACTTATTACACAAGTGGGGAATGGTTTAATCGTTTATATGTAGCTGTGGTCAAAGCACATAGTAGAAGAATAACCAGTAAAAACATTCACATAGCTAGAGTGGATGCCATTAAATGGTAGGAAAACTTAGGTGTGCGACTACCATCTAACTTGTACCAAATGAAAAGAATAACGGGTCACCAAATTGTTAGCAAACTTATTTTTCATCTAATTTCTAGTGTTAGTATTAGTCTTACATCATTAGTTGTATTAGTCCTAGTAGTTTTATATTATTCTTTTTGTTTTCATAATTTTTATTTAATTTTTTGTTGAGGACGTACACTAATATATACATATAAAAAATTTTAACATATTTTTAAAATGTTTGTTAAAAAAATATTTTATTATTAGTCGACAGTCTATAATGTGACGGGCACAATATACATATAGTTGGTTTTACAGTAAATACAGGATGAGCACAAAACATTACAAAAATTAACATATTTGACTATTTGACTAACAGATAATGAGTTTAAAAAAGTACAACTGGCCCTTAAATGATATTTACTACTGATGAAAAAAATTATAATATTTTATGTGAAAAACCAATTATATAAACCTGATAAGTACACTTACATTGTAGTACTACAATATATTCATATAAGCACAAAAACTTGTTTAAAAATAAAATTAATAAATGATCTACATAAAAAGAACAGTGTAACAGTTATATATTTTTAAAGTATAAAATTCTAAAATGACTAAACAGATATAAATAGTGTAAAAAAATAGTATATAAAAGAAAAATCGGTTTTGGCATATTGATTCAGTCAGATCTTAATTTGTATACTTAATAATTATTAAATATTTAAGTAAATGTCGTATACAAATAATAATATTTTAGGTTACTACACTAATATAATTTATATAAATATGTTGACTCGTTATATAAAAATATTATGTTTATAAATAATATTCAAAAACTTATTTTTTTTTATTGTTTTATAACTCATCGTGTTTCATAATGGCTTCTCCGAAATCAGTTGCTTGGGATCCGACAAACAAATCATACTTCGCCAATATTTCTTCTTTAGTTAATTTTCCATCAGCATCTGAATCGGATTCATAAATAAGGTGTCTGCTCTCTGCTTCGGCATGATCAAAATTATCAGGTAATATCCAATCTTTAATCTAAAATTCATAATAATTATTATAAATTATAAAAACCATGAGCGGAAATAAAATATTCTTCTAGACCTCTCCAATGTCCAAAAATCCGTCACCATCCTTATCTCTGTATGTCTTGAACTGTTCTATTTCACTTTTAATGAAATTTGGTTCTTCGTTTGGCTCCACGCCAGGAAACAAATCAGCTATAAAGAGTTAAGTTTAATTTTAAAACGGCTTCTAAGTACACCAATAATCAGATAAGTAACTTAGGCAAATAATTTGTTTATAAAGTATTCCGACAACCCACAAATTTGTCAAGTATATTCATTGACATGACTCTTAAGTTCATAATAAATTATTATACAACAGTTACATTACAAAACCTTCAATCAAGCCATAAAGCTTTTAAAAAATACTAAACAAATTCATTTTTTTCATGTATAAACTAAGTTTATATACATTCCTAATATTTAATAAACTAGTATGAAAGAATTCACTTTTTTGTTCATGAATGCATTTGTTTTTATTAGACAAGTTCATTTTTATCATTTTACTGTCACCTATTATAAGAATTGGTTTTTAAAATGTAGATAGTATTTTCACAGTTTTCAAACACATTTTGTTTTAAATATATTTAAAAAAATTGGAAGGTTTTTACCAAGTACCAACACAATAAAACTATTAAGGTGTTAATAATAACTTTCAAAACTTCAAAATACTCTTAAAGACTTTAAATATAAAAAATATATAATATATTTAATATTGAATGCTATCACCTTGAAGTACATTTTTATGTTACTTAACATTTAATTTAACCTACTTAGCAATATTGATATCAAAATAAATGATCTTACGAGCCCTATCCATTAGTATATTGATCCGTAGCTTTTGACTTATAACACATTTAACAACTACCTTTGATAAATATACCAAGGACAAATAATTGCATACATTTTGGGATTTTCATTTTCCTACAATTTGGCAAATTTCCACAAATGACAAATATTTCACGAGCATACCGATTGTGAGAACCTGTATTATTGAAGTAAATGTATAATGATTTACCAATATATTCGTTCATTGATATTTTGTTGTCCTTATCTTTATCCATATCATCCATAGTTTCATAAACAACAATATCTTTCATATGAACACTTTCTTCAGGATGTAAGAATGAGATAAACTCATCTTTGGACAATAGTCCATCGGCATCTACATCAGCTGCTGCCCACCTTCTCTTATCCCTTAAAATCATTTTGGCATATGTATAAGAATCATCAGATTTATGAGCTTCTTTTGCTTCATCATCTAAAAAGACAAATTTGTACAGTGAAAATAATACGACTAACAACTACTTAAGTAAATGGCACAACGTTCAAATATGACCTCATTAGGTTATAAGCTAATAGTAACAAAGTGTTAACGAGAAATAATTATAAAATGTATAATAAATCTATATTTTATAACACTGCTTAACCTAATCTTACCAGACATAAATCCATATGTATCCTTTCTGTATAGTGCCCACGATAATTTTCCATTTTCCAAGTTTTTATGGTTGTCCCATTGGCTGTGCACGTCATTCATTATGTAACGAGTTTGAGTGAATTTAATCCAATCTTTGAGTTCCTCTTGAGTTACATATCCATCATTGTTTTTATCAATTTTATCGACTATTACACTACAAACCACAAACAAAATAGGTGATAATGATTTAAAATGGTAATGTCTTGACAAAAACTTATTTGTGTATTGAAAAACAAAAATTACCTAAGTCTCCTTTGACTTTCTTCTTGCGTTAAATTATCAAATTCTTCGGCTTCTTGTCCGAGAAAAGCTTCATGATCATAATCTGGATTGTGTTCTTCACCCCTAAAATGTTGCTGTTGCGCTTGTAACTACACATACAAAAAATAATAATATACATTCTAAGCTAACGTGTTAATAATTTAGGTAGGTATTGAAAGAAAAAAAAAAACAAACACAACTCTTACTTTTTCCAAAACCGGTTCTTTGGTGTTCGGTACTCCACATACAGACATTGAACAAATACAAACCGTAAAGACTACACACTTGAATAACTTCTGCAAGCGAAATAAAACAGAATTAATATTGTAAGTTTTTTTTCTGGTGTAAAATATTATTGTCTTATAGGCATTACATATGTCTATAGTAATTATAAACAGTTAATTATTTTAGATTGCCTTGTTAACTTACCATGATTGATTTCTGTATTTATGATGGAAAAGCGGAAACAAATCTTGAAAATGCTGACCACACAACTAAACGCTGTTCAATCTGGACGATCGTCAATCGTCATAACACGTCATGTTTTTCGATGTATTGTTTTTATAATAATAAACTATCGAACACGATAGACTAGTGGTCATTAATTTTGTTATAATCTGAGACCCAGTTTCGTTCAGCGGAAGCTGCATTGGAGTATAGACAGATAACCGAATATAATGATAAATGATAATAATGATAGTAAGCTGCACTTAGATAATACACGCTTGAAATGGTATATTTCATAAAAAATCGACAGTGTGGTAAAATACTCGAGTAAAAGTATTCAAATACTTGTTAGGTACTCAAATAAGTATTTTAAATTCTTTTGAAAAAAGTACTTCAACAAAGTATTTTAAATACGTTTTCGAAGTATCTGTATTAATCAAATACTTCAATAATTATTTTTAGTTAATAATATGTATTATATATTAACTATAATATGTTGATCACATTAAATACAAATACAAATTGAGGAATTATACATAATAATAAATTTTTCTACTGCGAATTGCATACTCAGCAGATAATCAAATACTTCGACATGGGAAATAATTGAGTAAGGTAATAACCATATCTAACAATCTCACTAAATTATGGGGTGTAATGTATGCTGTACAAAATTAACGTGGGTAAAACAAGGAAATCGGTTCAGTTGATTTATAAAGTAAAAAAAATATTTTATAGAAAATTTGAAACTATTTGAAAGTATAAATACCTACTTTTTAAAAGTAAAAAATATAAATACCTACCTACAAAAAAAATTAATTTTACGTTTCAGGAATGTATGATTTTTGGTATGTTTGGAACATATTATTATTACACATATTATTTATAGGTACTGTCATTATCATAGATTTATAAATTAAAATATTATTATTGTGAATTGTAATAGTTATATAACATAACTTATATTGTTGTGAATGTATCAAGCGACTATAGAGCGAAACAAAATATGTCAATATTGATACAACTAATGATATTTGATTACAACAATAAACATAATTGTATTATAAGTATTCAATATTTGAAACTATAGGTATATGAATAATAAATAATAATGCTACTGTCATTAACACAAATTATTTGTTTATTTTTATAAATTTTATAATTATTATGCTTTGTTCTAATTGTTATCGAAATGGTCTGTAGACTTATCATTTTTATGTCAATACTGTTTTCTGATATAATTGAAATAAATTAATAATTATAATAATACGAATTTGTTTTTAATAAAAAGAAAGTCTCTTGTAAGCGCTTATTTTTCTGTACGATTAACAAAATGAATAATTCTTTTAAGGACACGCTAAATCTTTTCATAACTGCTTCTAAAATAGTTGGATTAATTAATTTTTGTATTAACATAGAAACTGGATTATTGTACCGGAACATGAAATTAATGTATTATTTATTTCTCGAACTGTTACGAATGTTTGTATTCTTAATTTGTACTTATCATATAATATTCAATATGGGAAATCATCTCCTCCTATTTTACTTCAATATTTTTAAATATTGGTCCATCGTCATAGCAGCAAGAATATCGGAGAAATATATAATTAAGTATGAATAATTAATATATATTTTTAAAAAATACAGTTTAATACATATATTTAAAAATGCCACCTCGTGTACGATTCAAACTTTGTTCAATTGGTTATTTAATACTCGGTGTAATGGTGTTAAACATTTTCTACTCGCTGCTACTATTTATTATAATCTGTATATTCTGTAACACACAACCAATGAAAACAATTTAAAAACAAAAAAATCCAATTTTTCATGAATCTCAAAGTTCTTGCACGAGCACATCTTTAAAATGCGAGTTTCGGAAAATTCTTTCTCAGTGCACACTTGCATGGTGGTATCGAGGAACGTGTATTAAATTAACAATACCTAGTTTTAAAAAATTCTTAGTAATGCCCCCTTTGCACCCCCCCCCACCCCTGCGGGCGCCCTTACCCCTATGTTAGATAAGTACTCAAAAAGTATGAAGAAAAAAAAACTTGTAACACCTATCTATCACTCAGCAGTTATCGGCAATAAACATTTAAAATTAGTACCTATATAATACCTAACATAACCTAACCTATACCTAATAGATTATATTTAATTTCAGGTTTATTAATGGCATCATCGAATTCGACAGAAAATTGTTTTTATTAAATTCATCGTTCCCCGTTAAATTATATTCAATAAGCAAAAGATTTTGGAAAATTATTTTTGTTTTTTATGTTTTGTTTTTTCTTTGTATTGAATATTGTTACAGTTTAATTCGACCTCCATTTGTTTTTTCTTTAACAGTCTTATTCCATACACCAGATATTATTATCTTTGTAGTAATGGTTACATCATTTTATCATCTCAGTAACTTGGGGTTCCGATTTTCTGAGTTGAATAGATTATGGAAATGCTTACCTTTTGGATTAATCGCTTTGCCTGCAGGTGGATGGACAAATTCTGAGATAACAATGTTAGTAGAACGTATACGGTTGTTGCATTCTGAACTTTCTGAGTTGCTTAAATTGTTTAGTTTGGGTTACGGACCGGTATTATTATTATATTTCATATTTACATTTACCCATGCTTTAATCGAAACATTTCACATTACAATTTACAATGATTTATTGGGAAATAATATTCTACCATACATATTCTACCTACAACACATTTTTCACATGATTTCAATCATCTACGTCACCTCTTGGGTCATTGACAAGGTTTGTAATATTTTTTAAAACAACCTAACGATTAACTATTGTTGAGCTAAATTTTTTATAAAGGCTAATAAAAAAAAACCATTTACTTTATAAGGTATATTTTTAAAACGCGATATTTTATTTATTAGGTAGTTCTATTGTCGTTATTTTAAAAAATACACTTATTGATATATACAGATATATATAATATATTGAATGTAGCCAGTGTAGGTATACCTATTTATAAATTATTCTTTCTAATTTATATGTTGTACCAATTATATTTATATAACTTCATATTGCAAACGAATGATTAAAAGTGAAAATCGTAACTATTTGACCTATACACAAACGGGAACCAATTCAGCTACTCCCAACCTAATCTTCTATATTTTGAATCTCGATGTATTTCGTACACATTTTAACTTTAAAGTTAAACACATATAAAAAATATTTTGAATTTTTATTTTTCCTATTTTTCAGTTGGTATAAAAATAACTTATGAAGAACAATGTCTTCAATTTAAAACTTTTTGTGTGAGTGAATACATTTTTATCGACATTTAAAGATGAAAGAATTAAAAAAAAATCAAATATTCCATATTTCTATAAATAGCACAAAAATCATCAAAATATTTTGAAAATTGTATCATGTATTACGGAAAATTATAATATAAATATTTGGTGAAAATGTCAAGTACCTTCGGCCATCGTTTTTTAGAATTACTCTAAAAAAACAATGTCGGGTTTGTCAAAAACTGGTTTTGCTTAAAAATGTCGGTTTTTCCTTAATTTTTTTTTGTTATTTCCGATTATTCAGAAAAGTTCTAGGAACTTTTAATTTTGACCTCTCAAAATTACCAACAAAATCTAATTTACTACAAAAAACCACATAATCTATTATACTATATTCGTGCAAAAAATAAAAAATAAAAAAAACACACATCATTGTAAAATCAATGCATTCTCATTGCAACGCTCAGAATCTAAAATAATTATTTTTATTAACGTTAATTTATATTTTCAGAAAAGAAAAATGATTTCATATTTGCGATTGAACCGAATCTCTGAAATGCCTGTTGATACTAAGTTACAAGTGATTACTAAATAAAACTAATTTTTAATATTTACATAGTATATTTATTTTAATTATTTATACATACGATTATTTCACTTTTGTCTCAATTTGTTTTATGATTATTAAGTAAATTTTTGAAATAATCATCATTCATTAATTATATAGATTAAAATATTCATGAATCAGATATCAGTTTATGAACCAAACGAATTAACAGCATTTGGATTCTTCAATTTCGATTTAAAATTAACGATGTCAGTAAGTACCTATAGATTATAATCTATATGACTACATATTTGTATATGTCTATTAAATAATTTATAATAACTTTTACATACAATTAAGAAAATAACTACTGAAATGTTAAATGACCGATGTATCTACTTATCTGATCAAAGCATCGTCCTAAAGACCACAAAAATAGGGAGAAAAGCAGCGCACGGCAAAGACTCACATGGGATAGGGGATAATGTATTTGAACCGCCTAAATCATACTACTAAAAGCAATTTATTTTACTAATAATTCAGTAGGTTGAATTTATTTTTGCTGAAAACATTTGAAATATCATAGGGTGTATAAATTATAGTTATAGTGTAGCGTGTAGGTGCGTTAAATGTTTCAAATACCACGAATAATACTTTTCAATTACTACAAATCAATAATTAATTCTTAAAATATTTAATTTTGTTCAAATTTGAACTTAAAGTAAATGTTAATAACATAGAATATCTAATTATGAATAATTTTATAATTAATTAAATATTTAAATGATTATATTTTAAAATCCTTGCCTTAATTATTTTGACATGTGAAATTTGATGAATTTTACACTACCTATACAAGTTTTCCTTGAGAAAAGTATAAAGTTTTAATGGAAATTCCAGTTCTAAATAATTTGTGCAACTTATCTGTAGGTATCAATATTAGAAATTCAAGACTTTTGATCTAGAATAAACATTTTATAAAATCATCAAAAACAAAATTCATTAAAATAAAACTAATTATTTGAATGTCCATATTTAGACTTACCTATATCTATTAAATATATAAGTTAAAAAAAGTGTTTATAGATGTATTTATATATTTTAAGCCAGGAAATACTTTATAATAATAAAAAAAATTAATATCACACTTTTTAATATTACTATTAACCATGTTATTATAGATTTTAGTGCTATTGATTACTGGGATTTCTACTATGATGCAAATGAAAAATCACCCTTGGATATTGTACATGAGGAACGAGTTCTTAATGAACCACAATTATGAATATGATTGATAACTATTAATATATTATAATAAACAATAGGCAAAGAGGCCGAAATGACCAGTATTGAAGATACAAGTATGTTAAAGACATAGGTAGGTATCTACTTACCTTCTATCTTGTACCGCAATACTGAGTGTTGAATAATTTTCAGTTAACTTTACTGAGTTAAGTATCGAGTAGGTACCTATTGTTTTGCTGATCTATGTATCGATTATTTAATAAAATAATATTAACAAGCAAATAGGCAATACCTAGGTACATGGACACGTGATACAGCAGATAGGTACTCTGGATTGGACTTTCGTTTGAATTGTTAACAATTTTTCTTCTATTTTTCATTAATTGACAGTACCGTCAAACAGACCAACTTGGGTCAAAAATATTATCTTATAGTTAAACCTAAGGCATAAATGTCTCTTATCAATCAATTAATGTGAAACAAATATTTACAAATATTATAATAAATCACTTTGGTAATTAGTAGTGCCACAGTATTTTCACCAATTAATTTTATGTTTATTATCTACCGTTTTGCTGTTGCCCAAAAATTTACACTAATACTCATTGAATGAGATGTTATGTATAAAAATTTATAGTAAAAAATATGTTCTGATGTGTATACAATTTTCTAGTCTATAAATTATTATAATTCTGCATGTATTTTTAGTCCAATTTGAGTCACTATTAATCAATCATGGTGGAAGTCATACTTAGGTTAGGATAAATTTTACCAAGTCCATTCCATTTAAACAAGACTAACCTTGATATAATTTAGTCTAAATAGTACCTATAGTTGTATTTTTAATTTTGTATAGATGGGTAAATGTTGGAGAAAATTGTTGAAAATTATAGGAACAAGAATCTTATTATTAATTTTTTATATGTTGATAGGTATATAATCACTAGTTACAAAATATATTTGTTACCTAATCCAAGAAAATTGTCTTTTATTTTTAAGAATTTAAAACAGTGTCCCAAGTTGGCTTAAGTGAATGCTATATCGGTTTTTCATAAGAAAAATACCAATGCCCCATGTTGTCAATATCCAGTACAACACGGGAAACCAGAAAAATAAAAAAAAAAACCTTGAGGGAATAACTTGTATGGTTTAATTGCAGCAGAAATTATTAAACCAAACCTAAACTAAAAAAAAATGTTACAATGAATATACATCTAGATTTATTAATCTTAATGTTACTTACAATATAATTTCAAAACTGCTTCAAGTTAGCCTGTTGGATGGTATTTACTACTACTATCTCTTACAAAAAATGATTAAATTCAGACAAAATTTTATTTTGTTTTGACAATTGAAATAAAACACCTTTAGGTATTGCCTCTTATATACATAGGTAGGTACTAAAAAAATAACTTAAAAATATTGATTGCTAAAATATTTTATTTATATAATAAAATATATAATAATTATATAATTTTCAAGATATTTAAAAGTAGATAAGTAATTAGGTAGCTAGTGCATTCTACTTAGTAGTTTAATATAGTACCACGATTCTCCAAACACAAATATTGAAATATCTAGCATTGAAGTACTCAGTTGTAACAATCTATTTCATCCCTGACAATAAATAAATTATACAAAAATAATACATATTTTGATTAATGTTATCAATTTACTATTAACCTAACCCTAGTTAAAATAGCCACTAACAAGTAACAAGCTTATACGCGGTTGGAGGCTTTCAGGCTTGTCTGGTTTTATTTCCCGATATAAGGTTAGGTTTTTAATACATTTTTGCGTGATTTTAATTATTATTAATTTATTAATATATATATAATATTTATATAATATTTATATTTATTAATTATTATTATAAATAGTAGTGTTAGTATGTATCACGGTTTAAGATAGATCACGGTTTATCTATCTTAAACCGTGGTATGTATCAATGTATTATATTAGGTACCTATAATAACCTGAAAATATTACTATACTGTCAATTATTTAACATAAATGGTTAATTATATATATTTTAATGTGAATGAAAGATGAAATTAAACAACAGAGTAGAAAAACAATTATGTAGTATGGTTTGGTTGACATAGAAATAGAGCAGAGGATGAGAATGCTTAGATGAATGAGTTGAGTGATGGGAGAAGATAGGATAAGGAATGAATATGTTAGACTGTTAGAACTTAAGGTGAGCATATATTGATGGTATTGACCGTGAACAAGATGGGAAAGAATAGGCTTGGGTATGTTAAGATGAGAGAGAAATCAGAAGATTTAAGAACGGTTATGGAAATTAACGATGTAGATTGTTTCAAGTGGAGGTTTAATTGTTAAGACAAGGGTGGCAGCCAGCAGGCCAAAAATAAGTTGTGCTACAGGCAAGGAAAAGAAGACTAATGTATTAGAACTCATTTTTTATTTTATAATAGTTTTTAGTGTATATTAAAGATTTTTTTATGTATGAAAGTACAATTTTTGTAATTATACGTTTATTTATGAAACTAAAATAGCTGTTATACTAATTTATAACATTTTTTATTATACTATTTATACCTAACTATTTATATTATTATAAAACATTGCAAGCTTTTAAACTGCTTTGTCAAAATTAAATTAAATTTTAAAATATTTATTTTGAAGAAATGTCAGTTAATGTATATATATATATTTTAAACTTGTTTGGTATTAAAATTAAAAAAAAAAATTAAAAATCTTAAAATATTAATTAAAATATTTAAAAAAAGTATTAAATAAAATTAAGATGAATTTATAAAAGTAAGGAAAATTTAGAAATGAGATATAGTAAACTAAATTAGATAAAGTTTAAATTACGTTTCACTTATCTGACAACTTTTGTAATAATGCATTTTTTTCATTTTCAGCCTTTACCAAATCTTTAAAAATATCATTGAACTCGGCCATATGACTGGATATTTTTTCCAATTGGTCAGCATTATTTTTTTTGGAGGATTTTTTCCTTCTTTTTGGCGTTGGTTCATCAGATGATGAACTTTTAGCAGTCATTAGTTCAGAATTTCCTGGTTCAACCAATTACCAATTAATTTTTAAAATGTATTCTTATACATCTAAAACAATTTGAGTTTTAACAAATTTATTTTTAAGTTACCTGTTACTGAAAATCCATTTTTGCTAGCACTTGACTAATAATATTCCAAATTTGGATTTTAGTACTTTTACCGCTATCAAAATTGTTTTCATGTTCTATATATGTTGCCATCAAACATTTAATTGAAGACCTAATTTTTATTAATTAGCATAAGTGAAACCACAAATTAAGTAATTGCAATACCCAGTGGCGTAACTGGAAAACGTCAATAGAAACCTTTTTAAGTTTACCATATAACTCAATTTCTTATATTATATTGTAAAATATTTTTGCTTGCATAATTGAAAATGCACCTTATTTTCACACATTATGTATAAATTGGTATAAGTTAAATCATGGTTATTTTCTTGTTTTATATTTACATTGTATTAATGCCCGTGTTTAAATGTATTAAAATTATTTTGGATATATCATTGATTACCTTATGAATTATGATACCTATGGTTTTGTTCATTCCTATATAATATTTCCTTTTCCACTGAAGATTAGTATTAAAACAATAATTTGGTTTAAATACTTCAATTATGGAGCAACACCTGATAGGTATTCAGATTCAATTTTTAAATTGTATGCATTTTATTGTCTATTTTTCAATACTATTAATCTGAGTATTAGTTTTAACAGTAAACAAATTTAAAATACCTAAAATCCTAAAATATAATTTTCAGGCCTTAAATCTACCATGGATAATAGACACTTGGTACAATTATTCGACAATAATTCCTTAATGTCTGGGTTACTGCAATATCAGAGATATGTTCAACAAGCAGTTGTTGCTATTGCCATGAACGATTCTGATGGTTAGTCATTTTAAGGTATGTTTAATACCCTGCCACCTGAAGTATTACCTAACAGTGTTTCCAGGTCGCGGGTGTATGATACCACAAAAAAAACAAAGATATGTTTAATACAATAGGTACCTTATATCATAATTGTGTGCACAAAATAATCAATCGGGGTAGTCTGGTGTATAATAAAAATATATGATACTAATAATCTATTAATACATGTAATCGCTTATGTCTCAGGTATTACATTTGAGAATACTTAAACGTAAAGAAGAAATTATTAATTGTGTTTATGAATTTAAGACTGAATGTTTCTAATGATGTTGTTTTTAAATGCATGTTTATTTTAGTCACTAGCGAAAGTGATGACAATGTAAATAATTCTTCTTACCACATCAACTATATGAGTCTTAGAGATAGAACATTTAAAGAGCACTTCAGAATATATTAACATACATTTGAAGTAAATAATTTATATTTTTTTTTTTATTTACAAACAGTAGTACAGCTGTCATAATTTACTATTTTTCACAAAATATATGTATTTTGTTATTAAATAGACATTTTACAATGAAATGGCACCATATATCAGTAAGACTAATAGACCAGTCAAAATACCACTAGACATCCAACTATTAGGATTTTTATGGATAATGGCTACCTCGGATTGCTATAGAAGTGTTGCTGAGAGATTTAAAATGAATCGTGGCACACTTCATAAAGTTTACCGTACGATTGTTTCATGTGTAGTTTATGAAACACACAGATACATTCAATGGTCCACAGACGAAAAAAAAGATGAGGTGAGAACTTTTACCTATGGTATGGTTGCCTGACGTATAAAGGAATACTGATTTTGAACTTATAAATGTTAACAGCACCTAATTTATACATTTTTCATTGATCCTGTGACTGTCATATATCATTATTTCACTTTTAAGTACAAATTTGAAATAATATGCGACTGTGACAAATGTATTAAATTTGAATTCAATGATAAATCATTATATACAATGAAAAAAAGATTCTAGCAACTTAATCCATGATCATTTTATATTTAACTATGGTCTAATATATTACTTCATTTTAAATATATTTAGATTACAGATGCATTTTTGGTAGCTAGTGGTTATCCAGGAATAGTTGGAGCAATTGATGGAAGCTACATTAAAATCAAACAACCACGTGGCGATAAACATTATAGATATGCTAATAGGAAAAAAGATTATGCTGTGATCATACAGGGAGTGTGCTCATATAACAAAAAGCTACTGGACGTCCATATTGGAGAAGTTGGCAGTATGCACGACGCTCGAGTGTTTCGAAGAAGTGAACTTTCAAAAAGTTTACCGAGATTATTGCCTATTGGGTCCAGATGAGCACATTATAGGAAACTCAGCATATCCGATTGGTCCACACATGATGGTGCCATATAAAGACAATGGTGCCTTAACAGCAAAACAAAAGAGCCACAACATTAAATTGAGCAAGGGAAGGGTAAAAATTGAAAACACATGGGCACAATTGAAAGGGAAATGGAGACGCTTAAAGTATTTAGACACGGATAGGATGGATTATATTGTAGATCATATTTGTGCAAGTTGTGTTTTGCATAATGTTGCTCTTGACGGTTCTGATGATGAGTATTGTATAGAAGAAAATGAAGAGATTGATGTGTTTGAGGAAAGAAATGTAGATTTGGAAAGAATGAAAAGAGAAGGTCAGATTAAGAGGGATAGGTTGGCTGATTTAATACTTAATAACTAGAATAAAAATAGTTTTAATTTTTTATATTTAAAATTAATATGTTCTATTAAAAAAAATAACAAATAACATTTAAATAAAATAAAAAAAAACAAAATCTGTTATATTACATAACATTGCATGTTTTTAAAATGCTTTGTCAAAATTAAATTGAATTTTGAAATTTATTTTGAAAAAATATCAGCTAATGTATATATATTTTTTTAAACTTGTTTGCGTAATTGCGTTAGTTCGTGTTTAGACTTCGTACAGTCCACACGTTAATTGTCACGCGCTCCGCTTTATCAGCTCCCGATAGCGTGTGTATTGTATTGTTCATCGTGTCCAGCGCTCGTCGCGGTACTCATACCGTTGGCAATTTATAAATTATCTGAACATTCCCCAAGGCCAACCTATAAATTACCTTATCTACATCATTATAGTTATCTACATAATTATGAAGTCTAATCAGTAATCGCCCATTAACACCCATCACCAAAATTTCCAAACCACCAATAATTAAAAAGTCAACTGATAAAACTATTCCACCACCACTCATTATCTCCAACACATTAATGGATCAAACGGGTGACAACAGCCCTTCTGACTTATCGGCAGTGGTTGAATTGGGGGGGGACGCGGGGGGACTGAGTCCCACTTCTATTTTAAAAATATTTTAGCGTACCCCTTCTAATTTCTCTTAATGGGACGCTGGGGACGGGAATCATTTTAAAAATTGTACTAAATTAATGGAAATATTTTTTATTTTATTTTAATGTTGTTGTTTATCACTGTTATCACTTATCACCTATCAGTGCAAAAAGAATAACGATCATGATTTGTGGCTAAAATATAATATGATAAAGGTATAATGTTGATAACAGATGAATTCAATAAATTTATTTATAGAATATAAATAATCACCGCTGCATTATGACTGGGAACCGTCCGTCCGTCCAGCTAATGCTTAATAGCTACACGACGCTGATAACGCGACGTCCTGTCAATTGTATTTATTAATTTTTTCCGTATTCGTCATTAAAACCTTATTGTAATAAAAGTTAAAATATTTATATACTGTCGTATTGTTACCATTGTCGTTCGTCACCACTTACCTTCAAAAATTGGTTATTAAATATTTTAATTAAGTACTTTGTAATTCATTATTGAAGAAAATGAGTGGAAATAAACGCAGTGCTTCCACTTTTCTTTCATATTTCTCAAAGAAAAACAAATTAAAAGATACAGTGGATCTAAGTTAGTAGATATTTATTAAATTCAATGCTTGTAGATATAATAATTACCATAAATATGTTTAAAAACTAAAATAAATCTTTACTAATAAATAATAATTAATAAATCCACATTTTTAATTGTGATATTCTATAGCAGAACAACTTTCGAATAATCCAGAACCAATACAGTTGTTAAAATCACAGCCACAAAATGTAAGTTTTGTCATATCAAACAATTATATTTTTTGAATTAAGTTCAGTATCTGTAGGTAAGTAATTGTTTTTATTTTTATTTTTATAAACAATAGAACCAGGACCACCTGAATACATTGTCTTCTGAGGCTTCTAGTGATTGCACTAATCTTCAACCAAAAGTAAAAATAATACATCATAATTAATTAAAAAAATAGTTACCAAATAATATAATGTAGGTAGGTAGCTCTAATAACTAAATGGTTTTATCATACTTGCTTTTTAATTTATATATTAAATATAGCTGGTTCTAAAACTCTGAGCAGAAATGATAAAATCTTAAGTTATGAATAAAGATTTTGGTTCAATATCTATAGGTACCTACTTATAATACCTATTTATTATTTAATATTCATGGCTACCTATTGCTTGCTTGTAAATTGCACTGCTTATAATACACTCAAATATGGATAAAAGTATGTGTATTTTTTTTACTAAAGTCTCAAATACTTTACAATACTGCTTGTACCTGATAAAACAAATCAACTACTCAAAATGTTATATACTATTTTGAGTATACATAAATTATTGATCAATTTTCCCAATTACATAAAATGAATAGTTAGGTATTACTTATTAGTAGACATTATTAATTAATACAATACAAATATTATACAAACTACAAAGAATATACTACACCTAGTCGCTAGTTTTTATTATTATACTACATAATATGTATAATATTTTATATTACCTTGTTACATATAATTATTCTTTTTCAAATTTATTTTATAAAGGAGGAAGTGAGTGTACAAACCCTTGAAACAGTTGATGAAGAATTATTAACTCTAGAACCACCAGATTGTTGGGAAAATAAACAAGTTAAATATTTTACAGAGGAGTATTCATGGCTATTTTTTAATAAAAAAAAATTAGGTTGTACAATATGCAAAAATGTTAATCATAATCTCACAAAACATCAAGGTACACATAGTTCCAAAGAATGGGTAAATGGAAATATTACTCCAGTTGGTAATGATGTAGGAAAACAGCAATCAAGTCTACGAAAAAAAATTGCAAAACATAAATCTTCACAAACTCATTTAAATGCTGAACGTACTTATGAAAAACAGTTAATGGAAATTATGCCAGCCCAAGTATTGAAAACTACTAACATAGACATTGAAAGTACAAAAAGAATTTTTAGAACTGCGTATTCCATCGCGAAGAATCAAAGGCCGTATGTTGACATGCCAAAACTAGTGGACCTTCAAATAATGAATGGTCTATCTATGGGGAGAGTTCTTCAAACCAATAAGTCATGTAGTACTATTATTGACCATATATGTTTTGAAATGAGAAAAAAATTGTGTTCTGACTTATTAGAAAATAAAAGAAAGATTTGTATAATTGTTGATGAATCTACAACATTGAGTCAGAAAACTATGCTAGTTATCTGTTTGAGAGCTGCTGTAGTAAATAATAATGAAGTTATTACATTTTTCTTTAACATCATTGAAGTAGAAAGTACATCTGCTGACTGTATTAGGAAAGCTATTTTAGTTGATCTTTCAAAGTATGGATTAAATGAGGATTTTTTAAAAGAAAACTTGATAGCTTTTGTTAGCGATGGTGCGTCTAATATGCTGGGTAGAATTTCTGGTGTTGGTACTCAACTACAAAAAACATTCCCCGATATTATAGTATGGCATTGCTGTAATCATCGTTTAGAGTTGGCCGTATCTGATACTTTAAAAGAAATCCATGGTACAAATCACTTCCAATCATTTATAGAAAAGTTATATGCAATATACCACCAATCACCTAAGAATATGTATGAACTTAGGATGTGTGCTACTTCATTAGAACAAAAATTACTACATATTGGAAAAATTTTTACAATCAGGTGGGTGGCATCCAGCAAGACAACTTTAAAAGCTGTTTGGAACAATTATGTAGCATTGTATAACCATTTTACAAATGCTTCTAATGATACAAAGAGAGAATCAAAAGAAAGATCCAAGTATATAGGACTCAGACGAATTCTAACAGCAGTAGAATTTGTTATCAACCTAGGTAAGTAGTTGTGTTGCTATAATTATTTATATTAATTGTATTATATTGTAATATTACATCAATTAAATATATTAAATTATATTATTAGTTACTTAAATATAGTTTAAACTTATACCACTAAAAAAATTGACTACATTTACCTATATTGTTTTATTATCTTTCAGGAATCATGTACGATGGATTATCTGAACTTTCTGACTTGTCGTTGCAGTTACAAGATCGAGGTTTGTCGCTTTCAACTGCAAATAGTTGTATAGAACGTACAATTCGCATTTTTGATTCTATGTCAAATACATATGGACCAAAAACTAAAGAAGTATTGAAAGCTGGTGATTTATTGAAGTTTAAGGATGTACCATTAACGATAAATAAATCAGTACCAAAAATTGACCCTGGACAGTTCTTTACAAGCCTTGCTAACAATATGCGTTCAAGACTTTTCACAACTCAAGCAACGCATGTATCAAAAAATAAAAATGAATTTAAAGATCAATTTGAAAATATTCTTAAAGATTTGAATGTATTAGATCCCAATAACTGGCCAGATAATATTGATATCCAATATGGTGACGATAGCATTAGAAGACTGGCAAATAAGTTTCACTTAAATGAAGTATCCACAATTCGAGGATTTAGAGAATTTAAAGACTTGAAAGATTCCTCAAAAATACCAACATTAAACCCACTTTTAACTGCAATTTCAACTATTGCTGTATCTTCATCTGAATGTGAAAGATCATTTAGTTCCATGAACAACATAATAACGCCTAAAAGAAACGTACTAACTTCTGAACACATAGCATCATTAGTGTTTATTAGTTGTGTTGGACCACCTGTTCAATTGTTTAAACCAGACCACTATGTAAAAAGTTGGATTAAAACGGGTAAAAGAAGTGCAGAAAAAACAAGATGTCCAAAACGAGACGAACATGACATAGATCATTCCTATAAACATTTATGGGCATATTTAAATTTATAAAACAAATAACAATTATTATTATGTATTTTACAATATTTTATTTTTAATTTTTAAATAAAAATGAATATTTGTTTATTGTTGTATGGTGTAAAATGTCATTGTAGTGGGGGGGACATATGCTACCACTTAATAGTAAGACACTAAGACATTTAAATGTTCGGGGACGCACATATCTTTTATACTTTTGCATCCCCCTTCTATTTTTTTTCCAATTCAAGCACTGCTTATCGGGCAATGAATCCGATTGGAAAGCAGTTCCAACAAATTCTACGAAACGAAACAGATCTCCAAACCACACTTCTCCTAACACAAAAAAACCAGACAAATATTTTTATTTCTGCAAACCGTTTCACTCCGATTGCTCCTACTAACGAAGTTCAACCAATGGAAACAGTTGAAACTCAATCTGTAAACAATGATAATAAAACTTCAAAACCGCCTCCTATCTTTATTCAAGAACAAATAAATTACAACAACTTCTGTCAAAAAATTAATGAATTAACTGATACCTCTGGATTTGACTGTAAGAGCTCTACCAAAGGTCTTAAACTCCAAACATACAGTTCTGACTCATACAGATCAGTCGTCAAATACCTCAAGAATAATAACGTATCATTTCACTCATACCAATCAAAAGAGGAAAAACCTTATCGTGTCGTAATTAGAAACATCCATCATTCCACCGATACTTCTTTTATTAAGCAGGAACTCTTAAATAAAGGATTTGTCACTAGAAACATAACGCCGGTAACTCACAAGTCAACCAATACCCACATACCGATCTTCTTTATTGATATTGAACCAAGTACAACAAATTCCGACATTTTCAAACTTACTTCATTGTGTTACACTAAAATTAAAGTTGAAATTCCCCACCCTAAAAAAGTAATTCCGCAATGCCACCGCTGGCAGTCTTATGGCCACACTCGTGGCTATTGCAACCACTCCCCTCGTTGTGTTCGCTGTGGTGAGCACCATGAGTCAACAACATGTACCAAGGATCGCTGCTCCCCGGTTAAATGCGCTCTTTGTGGCGGAAATCACAAGGCTAACTTTAGGGGTTGACAATCTCACCTGGATCTTAAAAAAAAATTGCTACCAAACCCTTCAAAGAATATCTTAAACAAAAGTTCCCAACCTCGCCAACCACCTGGAGTGAATACCTACGAATCCTCACATTAAGCTTACACACAACATTTCCCACCATTAAATCAAGACTCATCTTCTAATACTCAAGACACCAACTCAAGCCACAACCAAAATATCACTGCTCAACTCTCCTCATTTATTAACGAATTCAAAGCATTAATAAACCCACTCATATCACTTCTCACCACAGTCATTGACAAACTCATAAATAATGCCAACAAATAACTTACAACCACTCTCCATATTTTTATGGAATGCTAACGGCATCCTGCAACATTTAAATGAATTACAAGTAGTTCTTACTGAAAAAAAGTTACAATAGCTCTTATTTCTGAAACTCACCAAACTAAAACCTCTACACTCAAGATATCCGGATTCGATATTATCAGAGCTGACCATCCAGATGATACTGCACATGAAGGTGCTGCTCTCCTTATCTCCAATAAAATTGACCATGCACCTCTTCCACCATATCTGTCTACAAATATTCAAGTAGCCAAGCACTTCAATAACAATAAACTCCGTTATTATTTCCATCTCTTCATGCTATTTTCCCCCAGGAAGACCTTTCCCCTCGGCAGAACTCGGTAATCTTGTCCTATCGCTAAGCTTTACCCATATTATTGGCGCTGACTTCAATGCTAAATATCAAACTTGGAGCCGGTCAACAAACACCAGAGGCCATACCCTACAAAATTTCATCTCGCTCAATCATCTTAAGGTAATAGCGTCCCTTTCTCCAACCTATTGGCCATCACATAGCAACCGTCATCCTGACACTCTTGACTTCTTTATCACCAATCTTCCTAATCGTTTTTCCACTGAAATTATAAGTCTAAATGACCCAGTCTCTGATCATACACCTGTCTTGCTACTAATCGGAGCTCATCCCTCTCTGAAGAAAAATAGACCAACCATTACTTCAGGTACTACAAACTGGAACAAATTCAAAGATACCATCTCAAACAAAACTACTCTTAATATAAAATTAAAATCAATCACTGATGTTGACCAAGCAATTGCGAAACTAACTGATGATATTCAAAAAGCAGCCTTGGACTCATCTACCTAGAATCCACCCTATTCTCAAACGCTCAATCTATCACCAGAATTAAGACGACTCATTGCTGAAAAACGCAGAGCCAGATCTAAATGGCAACATACTCACTACCCAGCAGATAAAATTAAGTACAACTTTCTCTCCAATAAACTAAAATCACTACTTAAAACTCACAAAACCAATCTGTACAAAAGTCATATACAAAACCTCTTTTTTTCTAACGGATCAATCTGGCGTAAAACAAAGTCAATATTGCGGATTAAGGACTCCCCTCCTCCAATTCGCCGCCCAGACAACTCACTTGCTTTCTCAGACAAAGAAAAAGCGGATATTCTCGCCGATGAACTATCAGGAGTATTCAAACCACATCTTATTTCAACACCTGCACTACATATGTCAACAGTTATGGATTCTCTTCAATCAACTTTACCTATGGCATTCCCTACAAAACCAACCTCCCCAGCGGAGATACTAGGAATTATAAAAAAACTTGCAAATAACAAATCTCCAGGCCACGATCTTATTTCCAACAAAGTTGTTAAAAATCTCCCTATGAAAATAATTGTTCATCTATCACATATTTATAATGGTGCCCTTCGCCTATCTTACTTTCCAACTACTTGGAAATCATCAGTTATTGTCACTGTACTCAAACCTGGTAAGCCCCCAGAACAACCCTCCTCGTACCGGCTTATAAGCCTTCTACCGGTTCTTGGAAAAATATTAGAAAAAGTCATCCTCAAGCGCATCACTACCATTGCGCAATTGAACAACAGTATTCCAAACTTCCAGTTTGGTTTCCGTTCTCTTCATGCCACAACCCATCAGCTTCACCGTGTAGTGGACACCATCTCAACAGCACTCGAAACCAAAAAATACTGCGCTGGAGTCTTTTTAGACGTTGCTAAAGCATTTGATACCGTCTGGCACGAAGGTCTTCTTTTTAAACTAAAAAAAATATTTCCTGCCCCTTTATACCTAATGCTGAAATCATATCTAGAAAATCGTTCATTTAATGTCCGCCACAACTTACAACACTAATCAATTTCCTATCTCTGCTGGTGTTCCTCAAGGCAGTGATATCGCTCCATTCTCATATACCATATACACGTCAGACCTGCCTACATCTGAAGATACTATAGTTGGAACAAATGCTGATGATACCGCTTTATTATCAGTTTCTTCTGACCATACCATTGCATCTCAACAAATTCAAACTCACCTAAATAATCTTTCACAATGGTTCACCAATTGGAAGATAAAAATCAATGAATCTAAGTCTTCCTTTGTCACTTTTACACTTCGACCTCATAGCTGTCCAGCTGTATCAATGAACAACATTGACATCCCTCACTCGACCGAAGTTAAATACCTTGGGCTTATACTTAACAGACGGTTAACTTGGTCTCCTCATCTAAAGAATAAGCGAAAAAAGCTTAATTCCAGACTCCACCTCTTAAGACCACTCCTTCGTTCGAACTTAACTACACCTATCAAAATAATCCTACATAAAACTCTTCTTAAACCAATCTGGACGTATGGCATCGTAATCTGGGGCTCTGCAAAGAATTCAAATAAAAGAACTATTCAAGCTTTCCAAAACATATGTCAACGTGTAATCACTGGTGCACCCTGGTTTGTCTCAAATGAGTCATTAAATTACGACCTCAAATTACCATCCATCAATGAAACTGCCTCTATCTTCTACAAGCGCTTCCACTCCAAACTACGAGATAATCCTAATCAACTAATAAACGAAATAGCCTCACTTACACTCCCCGAAAATCCAGCTAGACGCATCAAAAGAAACTGGTGCCGTGACCTGAAAACTTAAGATTAAGTACTTAAAATATTCTGGGGTGTCACAAATGTGTGATTTCCCCTTCATGTATATAATTTAACCTGTTAACTATCTGTAAATATTTATATTACTTATTGTACTCGATGTATAGATTGTAAATTGTCATAATAAAGTCAATATATTTAAAAAAAAAAAAGAAAAAAAAAACTTGTTTGGTATTAAAATTAAAAAAAAAATTAAAAATATTAAAATTGAATTAAAATAATTTGTTAATTGATTATTTATTTAAATTATTAAAAATTAATGTATTAAAATAACTGAATTATTAAAAAAGAGTTAAGAGAAGTAAACATAAAAATAAGGAAATTTCCTTGTATAAAAAGAAGTATTAAATAAAATTAAGATGAATTTATAAAAGTGAGGACAATTTAGAAATGAGATATAGTAAACTAAATTAGATAAAGTTTAAATTAAGTTTCACTTATCTAACAACTTTTGTAATGCATTTTTTTCATTTTCAGCCTTAACCAAATCTTTAAAAATATCATTGAACTCGGTCATATGACTGGATATTTTTTCCAATTGGTCAGCACTATTTTTTTTCGAGGACTTTTTCTTCCTTTTTGGCGTTGGTTCATCAGATGATGAACTTTCAGCAGTCATTAGTTCGGAATTTCCCGGTTCAATTAATGATTTATCAATAGTTCGAATTGATTTAACACCACAAGAATAAGTTGCTAAAGGAACATAACTTGGGTCTTTAGCAAATATTATCTCCATCTCGTCAAAATATTCCCAAGATTCCCTACCACGACCTGTTTTTAAATTTTTTTAAATGATGAGCACTTCCCGGGAAGATGGATGGGAACAAGGGGTCCAGTGCTTTGGCCACCTAGGTCCCCCGATTTAACACCGATGGATTTTTTTTTATGGGGTTATTTAAAAAATATTGTGTATCCGTCGTGTTCATTGCCTGATATTCGTCATAAAATTGAACAAAATATTCAAAAAATCTTACCCGAGACATTAGGAAATGTTAAGAACGCTTGGGTCGAAAAACTTCAACTCTGTGTTGAAAATAATGGAGGTCATTTCGAACATTTATAAAAAAAAAATGTAATGAATTATTTTCGTTTTTATGTAATAAAATCTTTTTTTCTATTAGCCAATCAAGTTTAAAAATATTATCTGAATTTTAATTTTAATCTTTCCTAAAAGCTTCACTAATAATTAGATGTTTACAGATTACCATTAAAAACAGCATACCTACATAACTATTATTACAATTATTTATAAACATACTCTACTCAACTAGCTCTATCTTTATTATAAATCGCATTAATTATAACTGTAAGATTATGTCCAATACCGTAACTTAAGGTTCACTTCATGATAATTAAAATACTTAAAAATAGGTAACCAGTTTCACTGTTCAGCAAACGATTTTGCAAGCAAGCTATTTTTATTTCTATTCAAATCAAAACTTTAATAAGGAATGCAAAAGTATTGTCGAGTGTTGAAATTAGATATTTCATTATTGAAATGTGAAAAAATAATTGATTTTTTTACTACAATTATTCAAAAACATAACTTGCTCTAACTTGGTCAATTTTTATTTAATTTTAGTATTTTTTTTTTTTGAACTGTTTTAAAAAATATGTTCAACAAAATGGCTATCTTAAAAATTTTAGATTCTTAAATGCGTAAAAAAATTTTTTGAAAATTTTTGAATTTTAAAAAAAAAAAATGAATTTTATGCCATTCAATCAGAATTGTCATACTTAGTACTGTAAAAAAAACCGCGTTTAAATATAGTGATTTTATATGGAGATATTAAGGGTGATATGGGACTTTTGGGACATACTGTAGTTGTGCAAAAGCCTATATGTTCATCAACTAAATATTTATAATTTAAATTTGTACAACAGATATATTTTATTTTAGACTGATAAGTTTTATTATTTATATACCACTTCCACATAAATTGTATGTATATAATTGTATCTGCCTAGTTACGATTATATTTTTTTTTCACTAAAACATTTTACAATTATTTAGTATCTAAGTAGGTACGAATGTACAATTCACCTATAAAAGTATACATGTACCTAACTACATATTTTTTTAAAATCTATTACTATTATTAGTACCTATAACAATACATATTATATATATTTTTTATATGAACTTAACATTATAATTAACAATGGTATAATTGTTTTATAATTTAGTTTATATAATATTGTTTCATAATATAGACTATAGTGGACTAATATAGTAGATGCCTAGTGATTGTAATTCATTAAAAAGTATAAATTAATCAATATTTCTTCACAAAAAATATACTCTTATTAATTTTTACAAACACTTTATTATTAAATTGCTTTGAAGATAAAAATAATACAATTATAATTGGAAATCTAATGATTTGATACCAAAAAATAAATTTGTGTTTGGAAAGGGTCAATAAATAGTATTATATAATGCATTTTTTTTTTATTAAGTTAAGGGTTCAACACCAGTAGGTAGTCATTATATTGAGGGTTATTCAGTAAGTTTGTAACTGTGGGGGAGGGTGAGGTTCATTAGAACATGAGTATATATGACAAGCTTTTGTCACTATTTACTAAAACCTTGGTAGTCACCCATCTAGGAACTAGTAACAACAGTCAATTCTTGACCTCCAAACATTTTTGTGACTGATGCTAAACACCTCGCCATACCAGGTCATATTGTATTATATTATATTTAGTTATTTCATACATTTAGGTTAATAAAATGCATCCTATAAACCAATATTATTTAACCACTTCCAAAATGTTGAAATATATGTTTTCTATTCACCTAAATGTATTTTTTGTTTTTGTACATTTATGAGGTTTACTTATTAGCATTCTTCACTATATAGTTAATTTTTGTATGATATCCAATAATTTATAACATGAGAAGCTATTATTTTGTGAATATACATTGACTATTCATGATTATATATTTTGCTATGGCTAGACATTTGCACACAAATGTAGCAACATAAAAATAAAAAATACTTGTTAGGAAATATTGTTAAGAATAGTATGTTGTACAGGAAGTATAAGATGATTTTTACAAATTAAGAGGAATAGTTAATGGAATAAGCTATATTTGAATAAAAGAAAAAAATGTTTTCAATACATTTTTGTATTGTAATCATTTATAAAACAAAAAGTTCAAATTCATCATAAAAAAAAATATTTACTTTTTTTGCCCACAAGAAAAGTTGCTATACCTGTAAACAATAAAACAGAAGAGATGTATGAATATATTATGTTAAATAATAAATATACTACTTGTATTTCATAATATACATTATATGCATTCAATATTTTATTATTACAATAACCGCAAACATTGATTATAAATACTAGTATATATAATCAATGCTGCAAATTGTATAATTCTAAAAATGATATCATCAAAAGTTGAAATTTGACAACACGAGTATTATTTTTTATCTTTTTAGTTCTCCATATAACAACTAAAGGTAATTTTATTTATTTATTTAATTTATTTAACTGTTTATGTTAGGTAACTGTTGCCTGTTGCCACTTAGTAATAATAATTTTATTTCTCTTTCAACAGTTAATTGTTAACCTCAACAAAAATGAATTGTATATTTTCCAGCTCTAAGGTGTCTAGACCAGCGTTTCCCAAACTCTTGTTTGGGCTGGCCCGGTAATTTATATTTTTCACCTTTGTGACCCACCAAAATATTTTACACGTATAATTATGTAATAAAAGGCAAAATAAAATACATTTGAATCATCTCTCTCGTCTATTTGACTTCTTCATACTTAACAGTTTAAATTATCAAATGAAAATGATAAATGACAAATTTAATATGAGAATTTCATTAAATTCTGGGACCCGGTATTAAATTTTGATGGCCCGGTAGTGGGTCGCGACCCACTATTTGGGAAACGCTGGTCTAGACAAAGAATACATTAATTGAAGCAGATTTCCGTTAATGAGCGGTAATATAGTTAAATGTTAGCAAGATTTTCATAAGCATATTATGTTTTTGATAAATGTACCCTCACCGGATCACATCTTTAGAAGTATTTATATGTTTTAATCTTATTTTAATTTAAACACTCCATACAATAATTATTTTAAATTATATGCATAATATGAATTTACTAACGCTTTATGGTGTATATCAAATTACTTTTATGCACAAAATAATAAATATTATACAAAAATTGAACACAAAAATGATAAATCGATAGATGTATAATACAACTGTATACATACCACAAAATTTGCTCTTCGGATAATGATGATTTTACATTATCTAATGCCTCCTCAAAATGTTCTTTTTTAACTGTTGTACATGTCTTAAGACCGTCTTTAGTCAAACAAGATAGACCAGCCTAGAAAACAAACAAACAATTATTTATTTATTTAATTTTTAAGTAATATTTCAATATTTACTTCTTTTACTACACTCGCAAGATCAGCTGCAGAAAACCTATCAGTCATTAAGGCAACTTCATCCAAAATTGAAGAATCTGATAATGGCATACTAAAAATTAACATTTAATACTGAATTATTAAAAAAGGCACATAAAGTTTAAAAATTAGTTAAATTAAACCATGCACCTTTGTTCAGGATTATTAACAATGGTTTGAAGTATAATTAAACGTTCTTCGGCTGTTTGTGGAGGAGGTACATAGATTTGACGATCAAATCTTCCTGGTCTTAATAAAGCAGTATCAATTTTGTCTGGGCGATTAGTAGCTGCCACAACTACAACTCCTTGCCCATACTATTAATATTTAATAGGATAATTTAAATAATTTTATATATGTATTAAAAGTTGATTATTTTAAGTATAAAAAAATACTTCTGTATCATTTGTGATTCCATCCATTTCAACCAGAAATGTTGATAAAACTCGGTCATCAAACCCAGATGACCCTTTTTTTTCTTCAGAGCGACAGCTGACCAACGAATCTGATAAAAAAAAAAAATAGTTAAGTTTTTAATTCTAACATTTAAAGATTAAAAAAAAACATTTTATACATATTAAGTAGTCAGTTTATTACCTATCTCATCTATAAACAATACAGCTGGAACATTAGCTCTAGCTCTTTGAAACAGTTGTGAAATATTTGCTTCTGTTACACCTAAATAAGGAGAATATAATTCGGCTGCCATGGCTGTAAGGACATTTAAATTGGCTGATGAAGCTACAGAACGTATAAGGCTTGTTTTCCCACATCCCGGAGGACCATAGAGTAAAACACCTGAAGAATAAAAAAAATATAGTACATAATATGCATTTGCTATAATATATAATCTTTACCTTTAGGAGGTGGAACTGCAAAATATTTAAAAGCTTTTGGATGAATAAGAGGCCATCTAATACAAACATCTAACATCAGTTTCACATTTTTCAAACCACCCAAATTTGTAGCTGAACAAGATTCTGACTGCGTTATCACTTGACCAATTCCTGATCTCAAAGATGAAGCTGGGTACTTAGAAACAAGTGAAATAGTACCACCCAATACACCCTTTTCTCTGAAATGAATGAACAAATACATTTTTAATTTGGCGATATTATTATAACTTTAACTAGAAATTAACATACAATTCAGAAATTAAATGAGATTCATTAAGAATTTCTTTGAAAATTAACTCTAAATCAGCAGCAGAGTATCCTGGTGTTAATTTAGCTAAATATGACACGACATTAGATTGAATATTTATGTTAGAAAATCCACAAAAGCCTTGTATTAATTTGACTCTTTCTTTTTCTGAAGGAACACCAATATAAATCTATAACATAGAAGAATTATGAATGTAATTTAAACAACTTTGTATGGGGGCCTATTAACACAACTATTACTTCATATGAAAATCTTGACCCTTGTTTAAAAGATGCATCAATCAAATGAGGCATGCTGGTAGTTGCAATGACTATGAGTCGACAACAATTCTTCACTGACGTTAAGCAATCTTGAATCTGTGCACAAATTCGTTTGGCGTTAGAACTTTGACCATTTAGCATACTTTCTGCTTTCTCAAACATTATTATACACACAGCTGTAAAAATTAAAATTCATGAATTTGAAAATATGTTTTTATAAATATTATTATTCACTTTTGCTATCTTGCTCTAATAATAACTGTACTCTTTTAAATAATCCACGAATAACTGATTCTGTAGAACCGGGATCAGCATTTATGAAATCAGTAGATATTAAGTTAAAAAGTATGCACTTCAATGATGCAGTAACGTGAATAATCAAACTGGTTTTTCCACTGCCAGATGGACCGATCAGTAATATCTAAATAAAGAAAAATAATTAGTTGTACAATTGCAGCACATCCATATTTACATTATATAACAATATATTTACAAATATGTGGTGATGTGCATTTTCAATAATATACTTACCATATTACACAAAGGATGACAGCCATTTCTTGCAGCTTTAATAATGTTTTTCAGACATTTTACTTGAGATTCCAAGCCAAATAAAGGTGGTACTTCTAATCCAATTTCTGCCTGATAAAATTGTATGGCAGACATTGTTTTAATAACCATAATGGTAGTATCCGGATTAATACGTGCAGCATTGTTCTTACAATCAGTCTTGTGTACAAGTATAAAATCAATATTAAAGTTTTGTCCTAACTTAAGTCTTTTCAAGTTAACTATACAATCGTTATGTACTACAAACAACCTTAATAAATGTTTGATAGCGTCAGCCAACTTAAAAAGATTCTTGGACCATATATTTTGATATTTCACATCTTTAAATACAACACTGACTACCATACGTTTAGCATTGGCTACACAAATTGGTTCTATGTGCTCTATGTTAATGGACATTTCCAGCTTCACTGTCAAAGGATTGATTAGTTTGTGGGGTGGATGCTTGATAACGCTTGGATCACAACTAGCGAATGCGTTTGTACGGATCACTTGAGGAATCAGTTTACACAATATTTTGGCATTTTCTGATATTTTTATTAAGACATACTGGTTGAACTGACTAGAAGCCAATACAGTATCGGATGCATAGAATTTTTGAATCATAGTCGTCCCTTTGTAATCCGGTATGTTAGACAAAAATATTGCGTCCATAATGATAATAATGATATAAGTATAGAAAAGTATAGGTATAGTTACATTTTAAATAATACCGAATGTCAGTTCACTAACAAATAAATATTCAATTTTCGAATGACTTAAACAGAATAAACCATAAAGGTACACTATCATTGACTAATGCCTATTATATATTTTTACAGTCGTATGAAAATCATTTGGTGAAAAACTGACCAAAATTAACGAACCAAAAAGACGTGAAACACAAAAATATTAAGTAAAAAAACTAAATAGATAGGCAACTACTGGCTACAGGCTAGTAGCTACTAAAGTACTAACTAGTAACTACTTGGAACTATTCTGAATTCTGCTATGATTTTACAACAGGTTTTACCCACGTGTGCTGATAAGCTGTTATCAATGTTATTGTTATTAACTTATGAAGACTAACACGGTAGACTATAGAGTGATAAACCTTAAAAGGTCTATGGAAAGTTCTTATTTTCATAATTCATACTTTCAAGTGTCAACTGTCAAATGAAAATTCAGACGTTTCATTATTTAAAAATTTTAGTAAAAGATCTATAGCAGTATAGTATAGTTATATCGTACATTTGTACCTATTTTATTATATTCTTGGCTTACCTGAGATATGTTACAGATTGTATGTTCAATTTTTTACTTTGGAAATAAATAAATGCATGCATTATAACATTAAATTGTGGTAATTATTAATTGTTACAGGTATTATGGTTATATAGTATATTTTCAACTTTTCGCTGTCAACATCAAGTATGACATTTTATTTAACGTTTTAAGTTTATTGAAAAAAAAATAATTGTACTTTTTCAAATTATTTTTGAAAAATGTTAAGATCTTATTCATCTAGGTAGATTAGATATTAAAGTTTTTTCCCAGTACACAGAATACAACGTCACAAGAATTGACTATTGCAAATAACTTGCTCTCAAAAATTGTTTAACATAATAGTTTAAAACAGCGCAAACTCTGTAGACAGTACTACTATGGTTTATAAATCACTCTTGACAGGAATATTATTTTTAAAAATTTCAGGTTGCTCTTAAGTACCTATACCATTATATTTATTCATCCAGGACAATCATTGCTAGAATAAATGTAATATGTTATTGTGACCATTTAAAAAAACCAAAGATCAGTTACATCTAAAATGTATATGATAAATAATAGTTACATATTTTAATAAAAGAAAAATAACAATTTCAAATAAAAATAGTTTTATTTAGTTAGAATATGTTAAAGTTAACTAGCTATACTTTAAACTTTATAGTCTAAAGTAATATTGTTAAATTATATTTTGAAATATTCAAACAAGTTTTTTCACAACATTAACAGAAATATTGAATTGAAATTTAATTTTTTTAAGATATTGGTTTCTTACTATGCAGCTTATTGCAATACAAATATATATTTTTTCTTATAGAAGTATGACCGCAATACGTCTCCTAAGAAGCATTACACTGGCCTGCTGTAGTGCAGCATTTACAACTTTTTTGTACAATTATTTTCACCGAGAAGAAACAGAAGTATTATTTTTTTATGGAACACTGCCAATTTGTAATCTCCATCGCAATATAGCAACTACAACAACCTCAATTCAAAACAATGAGTGTTTTGAGTGCAAACTAAACATAATTATTGGATGGCTCAATAAAGCAAAAAATACTTTGGATGTTTGTATGTACATGTTAAATCATGAATTGCTAGCAAATGCAGTTATTGATGCTCATAAGCGTGGAGTTAACGTCAGGATAATTCTAAATGAAGATAATCTCAACACTACATGGGCAATGGGCAATATGGGTATCTCAAAAAAAGTTAATAAGGGTAAACATAATGAACATTTAATGCACCACAAGTTTGTTATTATCGATAACAAAAAAATAATCTTGGGGTCTCTGAATTGGACTAAAGCGTCAGTTCGAGCAAATTGGGAAAATTCATTTATTACAAACAATTGTGAATTGGTTAATCCTTTCAGACAAGAATTTCAAAAGTTATGGAAACAATTTAACTAGTTTTAGAATCAGTTGTTGTAAATTATAATGTATAAAACTATAAAATGTACAGTTTATTATAATATAACATAATATTACCTTTTAAGTCTTACAATTATGAATTTCTTTAGTTTTCTCTAAGAAATATAGTCCTTATACCCACACTTAAAATTATTCATTAGCTACCAATATCAATGAATCTGGTGTATTTATTTAATTATATATATATTTGTTACTATAGCCCAGCGTTTTTGGATCTGGGGGTCTCCAACTTATTATTTTGGGTAGTGTATGTTTAACATTTAAATCAATACAAAAATTAAAAAGCAAATTCTAAAATGAAGTAAAAAATAAAATCAACAAATATTACAATATTACATAATACGAGTATACATTATTAATTATTATATATTAAAACAGAAAACACACCGCTATCATTTTTATAGCAAAATTACGCAATCACGTCAAATATAGATTATCAACCTATGATTAGGCATCAAGGATAATGAACGATAATTTAAAAATATATTTATATAATAAAATATTCGGTATACATTTTTTTAATCAAAAGTAATTATAATATTATATTTATTTTATGTTTCTTGTACATACTGAACAGTACTTATAGTATTGATTATATAAAAAAATGTATGTAAGGGATCACTAAAAAATTGAAATTCAAAAAGGTGGTTGCCGCAGTAAAAAAGTTTAGAAACACTGTTATAGCTTATTCCACTGCTTGAAATCTGTGACTTTTATTGAACAAATTAAGAGTTGTGTCATATACTCATATGTATATGTTTACTGTTAAATCTAAGTTTCAATATTCACATTTAACTGAAGATCATTTATTTTTTTGACTAAAATTGAATACAAACACAAATATGTTAGAAGAATCTCTATGAATCGATTACAGACCTGATAATTAAAATGACTGGATGTCGTTAAAATATCAATGAATTTGAACTACTTAAAAAAAAAACACTATATAAGTTCCTTTAATTACTAACAAATTAGTTTATTGTTTTAATATGTATACAATTTATTGTAAACCAATTTAGTTTAAAATATGTATAAATTAACAGATCATGCTAGTTTTCATATTTATTCAAAAATGGATATTTACTTAAAAAAATATTGATATAATTATGTTTAATTCAAAATAAAAAAAAATACTTGATAGGAACAAAAAAAAAAAACAATAGAATAATTTGAAAAAAAATTAATTATTTGTTAAATGTAAAAAGAATCATTCGGATTCGTTTCCGGAAAAATCATTGTTGCTGTTTATTTCATTTGAGTCGTTTGACAAAATGTCATTATCGCCATCATCTTCAGTTGTTTTATCATCTTCTTCGTTTAGTACTTCCTATAATAGTATTAAACTAAATTAATTTTTGTTTATCTATTTAAAGGAAATATATTTTTATATAAATACTGGATTACCACAAAACAAACTAAAAATAGAAAAATTTAATTATTTCATCTATAACAATCAGATAAAATTGTGTTGTTTCAGTTTGCAATTTTGTGCAATAATTGTGTATTTGTATGAATAAACTATTTCATATGAATAGGTATACCTTTAATGTGTTAACAAGATTAGTTGTTTGTTCAAGTAATTTTTTACAGGATGCATTTTCTTTTTCCAATGCCATGACTACGGCATGTAATTTACGATTTTGTTCAAGTACTTCTTCCAAAGCCTTTCTACGACGTTCTGCAATAACCTCCCAATATTTTTCGCTTGGACCAACTAAAATAGAAAGTTCATAATGATTACATTTGTACTCTGCATATTAATATTGTTTAAAAAAACTGTTAGGTACAAATTACAATTAGTAAATGCATACCAGTGCTCGTGAGATCTTCAATAATTAACTTCTTGTAGAGAGATGGATTCACTTTTGCAACGACAGACTTTCTTTCATCGGATTTAACTTCTACTTCAGTCTTAAATTGTGTCTTCAATATTTTAGGATCAGAACTAATGTAACAATTCTATACATTTAAATGATACTAAATCATTGATTATAAATACTATAGATGGCCCACTGCTGTACAAAATACGCTGAACTGACTTTATTAGCAAGCCATCTGTAGTATTCATAATTAATGCTAATATACAACAAGTTTAAAAATAAATGCATACTTCTTTCCGTGAATTCTGCCAGTCCCAACCAAATTTTCTTTATCGCCGCCAGACGGCTGCAATGTTTGCAAGAACTTTCTGGTACCTTTTTTGTTGGACATCTAAAACAAATTGCATGTGTTCAGCTAAACATAATAGTTAGGTAATCGAGTAGGTTGGTCGGTTGATTAGATTTCATGATTTATTTTAATAAAAAATAAAATTTACCTTGTCCGAAACAACGTTTCTATTATTTTCGGAAACAGTTTTCATCGTTTTACTTTTGCGCAAGTGTCAAGAGTGACGTAGTGTCAAAATAATTAATAGCGAATGCCGGCTAATGGCTAATGGCTATACTGCTGAACAATAAACGTGACGAATATTTTTTTACTTTTCGAATAGATCCGAAACCCGAAAAACGTTAGACAAATATTTTGAAACTGCGCACTGCGCACTGCGCTCGATATTCGGACTCGTACGCTTACGGTATCCAGTGAAAGTTAAGTGGGGGAATCAGTATGCCGGTATGAGCGATGTGAAGATAACAAGAAAATCGACGCCGGACGCTAAAATTATTAACGCTCATATTGGCTGTTGTGATTGTTGAATGCCTCGGAGGTTGGAAGTCTACCTCCATAGTTCGTATATTCATTGTTCCATGACCCATAGTCACATACTCACGTGTACTCTGTGTGTGTTTACTCTATGGTCCAGCATGAGTATGGCATGAAAATGCACCAATAGGCACATGGAAAATACTGTAAATGCGTCAAAATATGTAATCTACTTGGCATTTTGTCATGGTGTAAACGGCGTTTGGTCGTCCATTGGCACTACTACATAGTCCGGTGGTATGTGGAGGGTGGAGTTAGAGTGGTTTGGTTAGTCTTTAATTTGGCCGTCTGGAACATTTAGACATCTGACATTTTCACTTTGCGGGCGATTGCGGCTAGTTCAGGAAATCGTGTGCAACTGTGTAAGTACTAAAAGTTATAAATATAATAATTTTGTGCCGCCTATTATATAGATAAATACATTGAATTCTCATTTTTCGCCTCTTGGCCCTATTTCCTACTGGTTTAAAGAAAGCGATCACTATTCCATAATTACTATTTATTTATCGGTTAACATTGATCTTCATGCTTGTTGGCTACCCAAAAACGACGCCATTTTAGTTTTTTGTCATTCCTATTTTTTCTCTGTTACAGTTAACTGACAACAGTAAATACTGTGTGATATTTGTAATAATTTATTTGTTTATTTTAATAATAATATACCTACATATTGTTATTATGTTTATTGTATGTATGAATTAATCAATGCACATACTCTAAACACACATACTTCATACTCTATATGGACTCCTGTATTAGGAAGTCAACAGGTCGCATGCTTATCAAACTATGTCTCATGTCATACTTTTCTCGGTTAAAATATTCAGTCTTTAAATAACTAATCTACCAATTTAATATTGTATAAAAACTAATAGTCTGTAAACATTACGGTGGTGGCTGTAAAATTCTATTGTCTTCAGTTTTGGCGAGCTAATGCAGTATTAGTACATTTGTTTGGGTGTACTTTACTTCTACCACTCAAATGTGCTCGGGTCTTATTAGTTTGATGCACATTTAATGTTTGAGGATTTTTTGATGATGTATAACATGGTTCGTGATCATCTACTATATTTTTATTCAATAGATTGTCTTGAAAATGTTGATTAAGCCAATATTTGACTAAATCTTATTAAAAAGAGTTTTTTTATGGTCTATGTGACTAAATTAAATTATTTGAGTGCAATTTTAAGCCTACATGACATTGTTTAATGTTTAAATGCAGTGGCGCCGAGAACATGGTTCAATTAGTCAATTTTGGGAGGTGGGTGCTAGGTGGTACAATATTATTTTCTAAAACATTTTATGAATACTATGATACAAACAATGAATTTGATAAGCAAAAAAGATCCGCCATTGGATTGCCAGTGTACCTGTTTATTTTGTATGTTTTCAAAAATTCTTGTGCATATCTAGATCATTAAAGGAACCACTATTCCAAATTTCAAGTTGTAGCAATGAGTGGTATTTGACTTTTATATCTATAGATAAATCAGAATAATACAATATGCTTACCTTTAATATTGTTTTACATAAATGATACTTCTGTTTCCTTCATAAATGCAATAATTACTTTATTCTTCATTGTGATTGCTATGTTCAAATATTTGTACAGCGTTTTCTGTAATACATAACTTTGAACCAAGGACATTTTTCTCCAGGTATAAAAATTAAATTATCTTTGTTATATATGTTAGGTTAGTTCGGTTTTTTAATCCTACGGCTGAAGTAGGATCAAACGTCGTGTTGTCACTACCAATTTTATTTTTTGAATTTTTTCACAATCGTATTTTTCTGACTGCTAGGTGGGAGGGACATTTATATAGATGAGAGATCTAGCAGGTTTTGGTTCTGTAAATATACTAATATTTGATTACATGTCTATTACAGTAAGTAGTACCTTATACTCGGTACCTACTTTATAACGGAGCAATTACCTAGTTGACAGCTATTTATAATATTATTTTATTTATTAAAATAGTATTCCATAAAAATATTGATTTCAAGCCATTATATTTTATTCTTAATACTTATAAAGTTTTAATTTTTATCAACAGAATTTCTGTACTATAAAGATGTCGAAAAATCCATTTGTATGTAAGACGCGTAGACGAAAGAAGGCCAAAACAACCCCTACCCCTATTGTCAAGCCAAAAGAGAAGGCATTTTGCCCTCGTTCCATGGTACGTTATGAAGGATCACCCAATGACTACAGTACTAAATGGGTGTGCAAAATGTGCTTGAAATGTTTGTTGAGTGAAGCAGCTGTTTTAAACCATGTGGCCAGTTGCACTTCATCATCTCGACCACAACTTCCTGCAGTGCTAACTAATAAGTAAGAGTTCATCTAGTAATATTTTTTATTAAATAGTATCAAACATGATATTAATTTATTTTTATTTTGTTTAGCAATGAAGATACTCGTTACATTTGTGAGTTTTGCAATAAAATATTTTCACGACGTGTAACACTAAAGAAGCACTTGGAAGAACATGAAAAATCGTCGAGCAGTCTTGGCTCAGAACAATCTGACAACGAAGTTGAAGATGATCCTTCAATGGCAGATGATGACGACAAACCTGAGGAGCCAATTCCATGCAGTAGCAAGGATTTAATTTAATAATTTATTGTATTTTTATTATTTTTTAATTTCATATAAAATATCATTTTTTTTTTTTTTGGAAATTCCTGACAGTACAGTTATCCTATGTTTGAAAATTTTTAAAGTACAGCTATAAATTTAACTTTGAATTATGAAAATTAATTTAATAAATGGATTCAATTAATTAAATTCAGTGTTATATTGCTTTATAGTATCTATAGTATTTTCTCAACATTCTAATACTGTAGTGTGGATGACCTAATTGTGGCTGGTCACCATCACAATACTCTTCCCTTGTTGGTCCGCTTGTTGCAGTTGGTGACACCCCAACAAAATAGCTCTTATAGACCTATACACTAGTATGTACTATGCAATAACAAGATATGATTAGAATTTTTTAATGGTCAGATCCCGAAGTATGTGACATAATGTAGCGTATAGTAGTAATAATTTAATTACAATATGATATTATGAGTAAGCAACTAAGCAAGTGAGGTGTTGCTCAGACTTAAACCAAATCTAGACTTTTGCCATCATACCATATTACCATGTTGTTTATACCATGGTCTACACCAGTGTTTCTTAACCTTTTTGATATCACGGAACACCAAACAACTATTGTTTTTATGCGGAACCCCTATGAAAATTATCTTTAAAAAAAGTATAAATGATAGATGATGTAGATAAAGTGCTTTCGTGGAACCCCTAAGTGAGAATCGCGGAACACAGGTTAAGGTTTCTTAACCTGGTCTACACTACACAGTTGATGTTGGCGCCAGGCCTGGCTCTCTGCTCGACACCCTGACTCATGCCCTCCCAGCGTACAGTGGTTCAAAAATGAAAATAGTTGGCCAAAAGTCGATATTTTGAATTTGAAAATACTTAAATAAAGATAGTACAAAAGATGTTATCTATAATACCCAATGTTTACAAAATTGTTAAATTTATTGTCAAATATTATTAGCTATACTAATAAAATAATAGGTAATTGAAGGAGACAAAATGTAGTTTTTTTTCATAAATTCTGATATTTTGTCAATAATTGTTATGTATAGTTTAATTTTCTACAGCAAAGAAAATGATATTGAAGTATTTATCAATTTATCCATGTTTGATAGAATACTATTTCGGAAGATAATATTTAATGGCCCGATTATGAAGTTGCAACTGCTAACCCGTACTTGGTAATTTAAATGAACTATTATACAAATAATACGATAATAAACCTATTGGTTTTTTTTAAACATACAAATTAAATTTTTTTTTCGTCGAGTTTATACGACAGACTTTTATCCACTGATTTCAAAAATATAAACATAAGTTGTCATATTTGCTAGTTTCTTTGTTGTGAATCCCTGGAGTTTGAAATGCTTATTTATAAGCAATATTTTATTAAATTACATTTACGCGGTTTTTTAAATATTATAATGGATTTAATTTCACAAATTATACATAGTAAAATTGACGAATATTTTTTTATTAATGATTCAACACAAAAAAATTTGTTCAATTATGTTTTATATAGTTTTAAAAATTAATTACAATTTTTACCATAATTTAAAATAAATATAAATATGACGTTATGATATGTAACAATTGCTGTAAATAAAACGATAGATTTATTAAGACAAATTTAGTTTGTCTTCAAACAATCGTAGTCTTCTGCTTCTGTATTTTACTTATTTCTATCGTGATTCGTGGTAATGTGGTATTATCTATATCCGTGACTAGAATTTTAAAGATGACATTCGAGTTAGTTGATATGACACGGAGACCATATTTTTCTATGCAGGTAGAAATATTTCGATCAAAATCGTTGTTTATTGATCATGTATCAAAAGTTGAAAGAAAGAAATATTCGATGGGTACGTACCGACTAATCGAAGTCAAAGTACTACCTATACTGGTCAGTATGTTTCGCTGGTATTATTGCACAGAACAATGGGTACCGCTCATGTAACTTCTTAAACACTTAATATTGAATCGATATACTTAGATACAATCCAAATTATTCCTTGAAATATTGCACTAGTCTCGACTGCATATAGGCTTAACTAGGGGAGGCTAAACCCCCATAACTTTTATTTTGACACCCCTGTCATAATATTCCTAAATAGGTACTCCCAACAACAACGGTAGTTACATTAATACATTTTCATTAAAAATATCGTTTTATTTTTTCATTTAAACTATATAATATCATTTGTATGTGAGGAGTTAGTGTAGAGTTGTCAATAAAGTAAACACAAAAATAGTCTTTACTGTAATGTATCACTCGTATACACAGTGCACATACTAATTACTAATATATTATAATAATTAAATTGCGATTTTAATTGAACCACATTTACATTCAAACATGACATTTAGTAACAATTAATGTAAAGTGTGTGGGGGCAGAGCCCCCTAACTTTAAGGTCTAGTCACGCCTCTCGAGGTCTAGAGAGATCCTAGAGCCATAAATAAGCTAACCCGTAAATCCGGAAGCTCCAAGAATCTCGCCTGGACCGTTATCTAACCACCAATATCGCGACTAGACTGGTATAGGCTGCGATTAACTGCAAGGTAGTAAATACTATAGATAAGAATACGCTGAATACGGGACAGATCGATTCAAAAGCGCGACACATTTTTTCCCCTGAAAACGAAGGACTGCTTACTTAAAAACATTTTACGGCGTCGAATCTAATATTACGCCAAGTGCCTATTAATTTCTTTAATTAATTATATTAATATATATTTATAACATATTATTTTTATTTATATTATATTACTAGCTGACCCAGTCACGCGTTGCTGTGGCTCAGTGATTATAATACATTTAATCAATTTTTTACTAATTCTTTGGTACAATCAAATTAATATTTTCTAAAAAAATTTAAAATAGATTCATTCATATGGGATTGAAAATAAAACGTTTCGCCAAAATTTAAAAGTAATAGGTTAAGTATCGAAATGTTTTAATTAAGCACAAATCAACATAAACGCTGTTCTCGAGACTCTATTGTCTGCGAATTTCTGCTGCAGTTCTGATTTGTTGAGCTGCGTTTCTTGCTGCAATTTGTTCTTCCGATTCATGGGCTCCATTAGCAAGCATACGTCGTGCATTTTTACTATACTGATTGATTCCGCGGCATTATAATAAATTTAAAAAAAAATTAAAGAACATTCAACACTGAACACTGCACAATAATAACACAATACAAAGTATTTATGGTTAGTGGGGTAACTTATAGGTAAAGTAAAATACGAAAACACTAAACCATTACAATTTAAACTGTATAAATATAAATAACAAACGAAACTAACCATGCAATTATACATAAGTATGTAAATGTATTAAAATGTTAATTAATATACTAATACATTTTTGATAAAAACTATCCTATCTTTTAAGTTTGACCAAAATACACAACATGTAAAAAGTTTCATCAAAATCCGTTCAGTAGTTTCGGAGTTTATCGCGAACATACATCGTGACACGAAATTTTTATATAGGTACCTATACACGATTTATATAATTTTTTTTTTTTTATTCATGCTACAGCATCAACTACTAGGATTATTAGCTTGCAACAAAAATTGGTAATTAGTACATAATAGAATATAGTTATACAATAGATTCTTAAATTAAATTAAATTATACATTATATCAATTTGTTTTAAAAATATGATTATTTTGTTGGTGTTGTCATGGATAGGGCTGAGGGATTCAAAGAGGTTGTCGGGCAATTTTAGACTTTTTCTGGTATCTAAATGGATACGGCAGTGGATGAGGAGATGATTGACTGTGAGAGGTTCTCCGCAGGTTAGGCACATTTCTGGTTCTTCTCTGCGCATAAGATGTCCATGGGACATCTTTGAGATTTATATTATTATTATTATTATTATTATTAATTACATGTATACGAATTAATATATTATCAATCCATACCGAGGTTGTTAAATTATTTACACTCAATAGAAAATGCTATAAATATAATATGTTTGTTATTTGGTCGTAGGTACCTATAATTTTTTAGGTCGACTACGCCCAAGAATTTCTCTATTAGGCACTCACTACGATTTTTTTTGATAACCTAACCCATGTCCGCACCTGTGCTGCAAGCATTTTAATACCGACTGGGCCGTATTAACGTCTACCTATAGTATTTGAGGGTAGTCCCGTGGACCTTATACTGCTGGACAAGGACTGTGTACAACAACAACATTAGGAGCGGCGTAAAACAATACATCTCGCGGTGATGTATGAAAAAATATGGCTGTGCATATTATGAAAAAATACAATAATATTTATATTCCTATCGATATATATATCTTACCCTGCACTACCCCGCACACGAGTAATCGAGTAATCAAAAAGCGCCCTTTATGTTGTTGCGCTTTCCATACACTCGTTGCTTGTCAAGTAGTATACGGTCTGTGGGTAGTCCACGCTCGAGACAAGGGCACTATTGGTAATAGGTATGCTATGCCGCCATTTATCACTGTGAGTATGAAATTGCCGCCCGAGTTCTATTTGGAGCCTTAACCCGACTAGTGTTTAAAATTTGAAATTAATTACAAATCACAACGATGTTGAACGCGTATCTCGGTTTATTATTTATAATGTTAATATTAAATATTTAACTAGCAGTTTTCTTTCCACTTAAGTGTAAATTATCGAGTTCGAGAGTTTTAGATTTTTATGTTTCTATAAATAGAAAATATCATTGAAGTATATTATAGTCGTAATTTTATGTTCCCGTTTTATCTATCGAAGAGGTGTAGCTGATTTTAATTTTTACACGACTTAAAAAGATGTACAAGGTTATTTAAGTCACACGTTGTATAGGTTTTTTTTTATATCTGTGTACTGATGTAATGGTTTATGACTATTGAACTATTCGTAAAAAAAAATCGTTAAATCATCAATGGTCAAACATAGGAATTAAATGAGTGTTTAAGAACCGTGTTTTTTATTAAAATGACCGCCTAATACCATAGATTTTTTTTATCTGCGTATTTTACTTTTGTTTATTGTATACTGACAACTACTGGCTACTCAAATAATCTTACATCTTGCACTGGATATAAAG